CACGAAAAAACTGCCATTACAACCAGATGAACGCCAAAGCATCAATGATTCTGCTAAGGATTCATAATTGAAGCTAATGAAAACTGCTTACAACATGGCAAACATATTTCTATTTTTGTAGTGCCGTTTTTTTGGATATATTAAATAAGCTCAGTTTATACTTGTTTAGAAAATTGCTCAATTGCTAAAATTTAAGTAGTCATGGTAAGAATTCAGCGAAGTAAATTTCATAGAAATTTTTGCTGTCATCATTTTTGTGTTGGCCATTTCTCCGTAGATCTACCATAATTACCAAAATGTTTTGTGAAAAAATGTCACACGCCATCACACGCCTGGATGTTTTCAGGGGTGCGGTGGTTAGCACGCCTGCTATATTTTTCCCACGAAAGCCTGCACTTCATCATCATCATCACTAAATCTTCATTAACTTAGCTTACATAACACTGTTAGCAACAGAGCTCCAGGTCTTTCTGTTGGAACATAGAGTTTCAAGCATTTTAATTTTATCTTCCAAACTTTCAGTCAGGTTGTGTATATCTGCATTTTCATTGAGAACATTTATTACTCTGATAAGCTATGTGGTTTGAGGTCTTCCTGTTGATTTCCTCACAGGTTTTTGAAAATGGGTCACAGCTTTTATAGAGTGGTTTCAGATTGTAGCATCATAAGATGACCCAGTAAAGATAGGTTTTTTTAGGATGACAATGCTCTAAGGTCTTGTATTGGTGCATTGATTGAGTCTTTCATTTGAGATTTTTGAGCAGTGGAGGTTTCTGACTTGTTTATATCTGAAAGGTGACAATGGTATTTTCCAGGGTTTTTGTTAGGGCTCAGATTGACACCTTCCCTTTGTCATCATTTTCTTTGCTGATTTGAAACTTCTCAGGAAAAACTAAATATAATGTTCACTGGGCAACACTGCGAAGAATTGATTACATTTCTTACTTGAGCTCATTTTCCGATTTTAATGGTAAATATCTATTGTGGTAAAAATATTTCTGCAAGCTATGAAAATTTATGGGACTTCCCAGGTTCTGCTATTTTCTGCAGCCTTTCATATAGAAGCATAAATGCTCGCACTAAAACCATTCAGTCACCAGCAGTAGATAGACACAATCTCATTAAAGAGCTATACTTACTTTTCAAATCCTTTTTTGTACATCCTCTTAACGGCCAACAACCACAAATTGAATGAAATACAACATACCCAGCACAATACTGACCAATCTGAAAAAAGCAAAAAAGGGATATTCTAATCAAGAATGTTATTCAAAATAACATAAATACTACACAAAAGCAGGGCAAACAAAATTTTATTTGTTTGCAATTATACATGATTGAAACTATCCAGAATTTATTCACACATTAGATAAACGTTCAGAGCTGATGACAGGAGAAAACATCTACACCCTAATTTCAAGTCTTGTCTGTATGTAATACCTTGTCAGACTAAAGAAATCTTATCTTTTTCCAATTAATCATGTTTTAAAGCAACTAGCTAGCATTTGTGATCAATTGAATAATATAAAATACATACCAAAATATGACATCAAAAAAGCTTGTGCCTCACAAAGCTTCCCATCTGGATAGATGTCACCCTGGAAAACAAAGGAAATGATAACAATAGGTGCAGAATGAGCTTCAATAGCTTTCAGCTTTCAACATAACTTGATCACACAGCAGTTACTGAAAAATCTGTTTTATCCACAGAAAGTTGCACAACTGAGATGGGAAAACCAACAGATCTTATCCTGTAATTTTTGTATGAATTTTCACAAAAAAATTCCCCATGTGGTGTACGGCTTTGAAAATTTATGATGCAAGCTCAAATTACTTATTTCCAAGGTTACAATTATAGCTGTGCTCAAAGTAACACTATTTTACCTATGCAGAAAGATTCTTTCTCAAAATTTATGTCCCTAACAAGAAGCATTGGAGATTCTAAGATTAAAAACAAAAATTCACCTTCACTGAAATTGGATATATCGGTTCTAGCTCAAAAAAGGGCTCTAAACAAAAGTAAAATTGAGTTGAGAAGAAATCAAAGAATGATGATATTCAATTGTTTACATTCCTTACAAGTTGGTTGTGTTGTACTAGAAGCAACATACCATAATGTAAGATATACTGTCCAAGAGGGCTGCAATACCCAAGGAAAGTATCATTCTCTAAAATTGAAAATGGAAAGTCAATGAAAAGGTTAAGATGCAGCATTTAAAGATCGTAATAACTTTATAGCTATAAAAAAATTCTACAGGCACCTGTATCACTACTAATCACTCCAATATCATGGTGTCCCGATGAAGAAAGTTCAAAAGAGTTCATTATCCATTCTAGTAGGTATTCTAATTCATTGCAATTTTGTTACTAAACATGTCGCCTACTAAATGAGTTTGCTTCAATGTGTTTTAAAGGCTTTCAGTGAGAAAATCCATGGCCTCACTTGCTTGTTTGCAGATCAAAACACCCAGAGATCAATAAAATTATTCAGTAGAACAAATGAAATACATGCATCATTTATTGATAGAACTGGCATTAAATTATGTGGCAGTAAATATGCTAAGACCATTATATGCTTTGAAGTGTCATATGAATTTTCCGCCACTGACAACACTACTGGATAAAAACTTTACATTCTACCTTGCAACCAAACTCAGTATGTTAGTTTTCTAACTTGAATGAATTAGGAGTCCTCTAGTTACAGTCAAGACCACAAATTGTTGAGCTGAAATACTCACTAATTGAAGTGTGCTTTTAATCAGACCCCTGTTAATTTCAAGTTTAAAACAAACTCAGACACTCCCCTCACAAAAGTATTGCACCACCTCAAAGGAGGTTAGATGGAATAAGAATAATGAAAAGCTTTTGAATTGATTGTGTTTTTTAGTGGCACATAGGAGTGGGTTGGAAGTGAAACAACCACCAATCAAAACTTCAATCTTTCTAGGGCACTTTTTTTTAAAAAATAACAATAAAAAACATCTTTTAACAGATTCAAATGTTAATATTCTGATAGGAGCCGCAAACTTTTAAAACCCATTTCAGTCTTCTTAAATTGGTTGCAGGTAATTGGGCAATGCATTATTGTGGAATTTCATGTCAAACCTGAAGAACTCTTCTAATCAATGATTCTTTGGCTCTTCAAGAACCATTAAAATCATGGTTCCTAAAGTTTTTCATACGAAGCCAAACATTGTCAATGAACTGAAAATCTGGACTTGATGGATGCCATGGAAAAAATTGAATTGTTCTTACTTGAAAATAAATCATTGTAAAAATTGTTTCCTTTTCTCAGGTAACTTTTATTTTGTATTTTTGTAAGACACTCATTCTAATTTGTCTGCAAGGATTTTTAGCTAAAAATCCTTGCTCAGCCACGAGTTTCATGTCCTTGAGTGTCCCATAGTGTAAACGCCATGAAGTGAAAGAGACAGCCACAGTCTTTCCCCTCTCAAATTAATTATCTGCATGGGCACTGCTTGGCTTCTAAAACACTCTCGAGAAAAATTTTTAAATTCTTACAGCTGATGTGTGGCAGCATCTAAGGCTTCTTTCCCAATTAAATATATATCATATATCATATATTATATAGATATATATATGTTATAAATTAAGCATTTTATAGCGACTCGCATCTCATTTGACATGTTTCTCCTTTATGCATCTTCTATTATTCTACAAACAAAATCTTTTCTGAGTAATTTATACATTTCAAATTACATTTTCTATGGCATTAGCAAGATTTTCAAGAATTTCCACCTAAATTTGCTACAAAGTAAGCCTATCTCACCCAATTCAGGCATTCAAATGTTTGGTATGGTTGAAAAGTTGACAAAATGTGCTGCCATTTTGAGTGTATATGCCATCATCAAAAAAAGCCTAACAGAGGAGACCGAACAAAAATTCTATTAAATAATTTAAATACCATACCTGGCCAAAGAATTTGTACTTTTTGAAAAGCCATATCAGGAAGATCAAGAACAGACTAGAACGAAATGAAATTGAAACAGGTGTGTATACAAAAAAGGTCTTATTACATAAACTGCTATCCTTTATAAGTGAATATAATGTAATAGACTCTGATCTTTTCAGCTTTGGTAAGTGCAGATCTTTAATAAGACAGTGACACTTTCGAGACTGTAAGACAAATAGCAAATTAACTGATTTGACTAATCCAGTGAAAAACAATTTGAGCTGTTAAAAGATTGAAACATCAAAGGCTGTCGGACACAGGCCTATCTAAAATAAGTGTCAAATCTAAAATCCAAAAATATTTAATAGCATTTCTCTTAACCAAAACTTACTTACCAACCAATAAGAGACAATGAAGCTGATGTTCTTTTTAATGCTAAAACTATGTCCTGTAAAATGAAAGATACATAAAGTCAATATAACCTGATCAGGCCATGCTGGGAATAAGATGGCAGGGGTGCAATGAATCGCACTCCTTGTGGTGCCAAGGCGTGCAATGGTGTGCTATTGCACCAAAGTACTTAATAATACAGTCAGCTGTATATGGACTAGACTACATAACTTTATCATACATAAGAAAACATAAGCAAGGCTAGTCCAATCAATACATTTTATCAAACAAGCTTTATTAACGTCAAACCCAACATATTAAAGAGAAAAACATTAACAATAAGGTAGGTTAATTATTATGTAATCCTGCAGTTTATAAACCCTTCTGGTCTGCTTCTCCTGACAATCTCGTTCTCAAAATTTAAGAATTCTAACTGTGTTTTCACCATAAAGAAAACTTATCTGTTGACTAGTGTTAGAACGAATTAAATGGTTAATTGCACGTTTATATTTTGTAAGAAAGCTACAGTAGCTAAATCCTCACAATTCAAAGTCTCTTAATTTTGGAACATTTTTGGCCACATTTTATTAGTAAAAGTTTCTAAAGAGTTTTGTATTTGCATACAGATTAGAAAAATGCACATAAAGTAAACTGTATATAGAGGAATTGTGAGTACTGAGAAAACGGGATTTTACTGATCGCACTTGCAAGATACACTCGTAAACTACACTCAATAAGCCTGTTTAAATAAACAAAGCCTTACATGTGCCATGGGGTTGTAACTACAGTGGAATCCCGATATAACGAACTCTGAAGGGAACCAGAAAATAGTTCGTATATCGGGAGTTTGTTAAACCGAGAGATAATGTTTTTTGGGGGTCCTTTCGCAGTTCACGCCTAAAAAACCTGTGGTGGGCTTGTTTAGGCTATCTCCAACCTCTGTGCACATGTACAGCCATACATGTACCATTTAACTCAAAAAACCAATCTGAATTCAAATAATACAACTGGCTGGTCATTGAAAATGAAAATCTTAATGTTCCTTTCATAATTTGGGACCAAGAGATTGGCAAAGCTGGTATCACTTCGCTCTTAGTTGGTGCCTGAATGATGTCTTCAATTACTTCACATTCTTACTTGTCTTTTTCTGCTTCTCCATCTGGGTCTCTCAATAAAGTTTTGTCGTCGCTTATTGCTAATGCCTTATATGTAAGAAGTTATTTGTTAGTGTCAATGTACTCATTCGCAGTAATTTCTGACGCAATCGAACTTTCATCTCGTGGTCTGAGTCTATCAGCCAGTACTTGAAATGTATCATCGGCATGTTTTGCCGATTATAAAAATGATTTCTCCCCAAGAGAAATTGGTAAATGAATACCAAAAATAAATAAACAAAAATAACAGATGAAGAATTTATGAAAGTTCGTTATATCAAGGGTAATTATGATGAAGGGACCTAAAAATGGTTCGTGATAACGAGAGTTCGTTATATCCTTGGTTTGTTATACCAAGAGAATTTGTAAGGAGTTTGTTAGGCAGAATCCAAGGGACCAGGCATTTAGTTTGTTATACCAGGAAGTTCGTTATATCCGGGGTTCGTTATATCGTGATTCCACTGCAGTTATTGCAAATGAGACAAGCGACCACAACTGCAAAGCAAGGATTATCGGCCTAAAATGTCGAGCGATTTTCAGACCTCAACTCAAAACTTTGATAAAGAAATTATGGAAACCTTCGTTTACAGGGGTTTTTCGCCACTTTCAGAACTTCTGTTAGTTTTAAACATGGTATCATCGTGTGCCTTGAAAGTGCCTGCATAAGTGCCTTCCCAGCATGGCCTGCATAACTATTGTATAATATATGAATGCATTGACATTTTGGGTCACTAGAAGTCTGAGGTGCAAGCACAAAACGTCAAGCGTTGCTGCCAGCATATGCAAGTTTTCCAGCCTGGTCCATTGGTAACATTTTCAATAGGCAAGTGACACTGATTGGGCAACCTCAACAGGCATGTGCTTGCATTTTTTGGTTAGCATATTTCAATCTACAACTGGGTATATATATTTCTTAGCGTAGAGTTTTCAATCTATGTTCTGAAGTTTTGTCACCAAAAGATTGTAAACATGTTTTCGTCAATCCATTCTACAAAATATATGCGAAAGGCATTATTAATCGAGGCTACCTACATACAGGCTACTTTTAGGCTTCAGAAGGCAGGGACCAGGAACTTCTCCCCTTGATTCCTGGTATGAAAGTTCCGCTTTTAGCTTACTATGCACGTCTCTACGTTTCTAGCGGTTCTTTGCTTTCTACAATTTGCTTATACAGAAATATAATTGTAATGTAGTTGTTATTTTGTAGCATTGTATTTAGTATTGATTGATAAATGAATAAAACTGAAAACTAAAAAAATGCTATGATGATCTGCCTAGGACATTACTTACACATCGTTCTGGGTGATCAGGATACAGTTCGCACGACATTCTTCTTCGCACAGATTTAAAATGTCATCTGCAAAAACTTAATGGCTGAGCTTTTGGTTCACTTTGCAGCTGACCTAAGAAATGAGCTCTCGTACAAATCAGGTTTCTGCAAACAGTCAATCCTGAATCTAAGATTATCATCAAAAACACATTCCTACACTTCAGTTCATTCGCAGTCAAAACACTAGGCAATTTCTTAGCTCCTCCTCCTCACAATGCCTCCTCAATTCGAAGCTGAAAACGAGGCCTTCGCCGTAGCTTCACAGAGAAGTAAATTGCAAATTAAATTGAAATGCATTTAGAAGGTTAATTTGTCTAGGACTCTGAAAAGGTTAAAAAGATCACATTTTGTGTCACATGTAATTATTGATGTGCTGTATCCACAAGCTGGGGCGTCTTTGCTGATATGCGCGTAAATGATTTCAAATGGCGCAATTTAAACCTCGTTTCTAACAGAGATCAAAGTTCAAAAAGTAAGACAAATGTCAAGCGGAGTGTGACGTCATAGAAGTATATTTTTAGAATTCATATATTTTGACCACATAGCAAGAAAGAGCATCATAAAATACTGCTAAATATGCGGAATCAGTTAAATGTGTCAAAAATAGAATTAGATAATGACCAATGAAAAATTTGGTATTTTCTAATGACTCTCTTTTTTATAAGAATACTAAAAAAATTTCCCAGTCTAGATATTCTTAAAAAAATTATGTTTTGAGCCTTATATCATTCTTAAAGTATTCCTATTTTGTGACAAATCTGATATGGTTTTAAAGGAACATTCTGAGCCTGAACAATTTTCTGTTATTTTGGGAAAGACCGTGCTCGTGTGTTTTTTACTCACAGAATTTCAAACGCTGGAAAAATCTTTTAATTTTCGCTTTACATCGATGGACTTTCCAAATAGCAAAAAAATGTTTGCTTCGATATTTCGAAGATCCCAGATAATGTACAGGATTCCCAGTTTGGTGTTGCTCGTTTCGTCTTTTTCAAGGGACACAAAACTTAAATATCTATTGATCGGTTTTAGGCAAAAACAATAGACTTGTTTAATTCGAACTTGTGTCATTCAAGATTTTTGCTTGTACAAATTCGAAAAAAATTTCAGGTTCTTCAAGATCCCCAGCAAACTCTTTAATTGAGATTTCGTAATTCGGCTTATTGGCCTAATTCTATCATGAAGCAATTTTGAGGATTGCATAAGACAGTTCATTTACTGCAAAACGAGCATGCGCACTTGTTTTCAAGGAACCAAGTTTTGATCAAATTCTTAAATTGTCTAGTATTTTGTGCTGTCTTTATTGATTCCGGGAGTAAATTTCAAATTTTAGGCCCTTGAAAACTTTATAATCTGATATCATTATTTGTAGTTCTGGCTTTTGGAATGTCAAGGGGGTTTTGAGTCGAAGGCTATGACCTGTTGTTCTGGGTACAAAATAGTCTTTCATGAAAACAGGATTAAGGTTGTTAAGTATTTTATAAACTTCGAGCGCTATATATAATATACTTGCTTATTTCAGCTTATCTTTCTTTTAATTCTCTTTCGATTTAATTTGCTTTGCTGCTTAAATTAAACTTTATCTTCCAATAGTTTTCTGGAAACATGTAACGCAATTAGAAATTTGTATCAATTTTCAATTAGATGGTAATTAATATATATAACATTTATATATTTATATAAATATATATATATTTATTCAATAGCTCCTGACTCTTAAGATTTTCAAAAATATAAATGGATACTCCACCACAAGAGTTCTTCCTTCAGAAATCCTCCTTAAAAACCTCCCCATGCTTTTCCTTGCTAAATTAGGAGAATATAATTTTCTTTCAGAATGGAGTACATTTAGAAAATGAACACTGCCCAAAGATGATTTCAAAAATGCAAAAATGGAGCGTAAGGTTGGAAGGTTAAGGGTGAGCCTGCAATTTTGTCTGCAAGCAGTTATTCATGACGATTTCCGTTTCTTTGGGGTATCAGTGGGGGGTCTCATTGGGGTTTCATGCCAGCAAAGCCCTCTCCAGGTTCGTCCTCTCTTCCACGGCTCAGGGAACACACAAATAAAAAGGTTTGACATTGTAGGTCGTTTATTTTCAAAACAAAATACATAACCGTGTACGAAATTCGCTAAGCTCTAAATTCTCATTGTAACTCCTATGTACATGAGTATGTTTGGTCCTACACAATCAACGTTTCCATTGGATAATATTTCTATACAGTTCTAAAATATATTTTATAAAAAATCTGTAATGAAAACACAAACGAAAAAACTGAAAATGCAAATCGAATTTAGAAAGTATGGTTAAAAACAATTGAAAGTCTTTTTCTCTTTCTTTCTTTCTATGTTTAAGTAAAAGACATGGACCTATGTTGATGGGAAGGAAAGAGCTGAGTCTTGATACTACTGTAGGCCCCCGTAACCATAAGCTTAAAACAGCCCAAAAATCAAGATGAAAGTAACGATATGACTCAACAATACCATTTGATGTGATCATAGAACAAGAAGTAACAAACGCGGGACAAACGCGGGTTGATATACACCGGGTTGGATTTTCAAATGTTCACACGAAGAAAACAAACCCAGGTGACTGGACAATTACACTACTCAACCTTATCCCCATCTGGTTCGTGAAAAATAAGCTACCATTTTTATAGTCTCTATGCAATTTCTTCACAAAAATTGGTCTCTTAAGAGCACAAATGCCTCAATGTTTCTGAATTTTTTCGGTTTTCCAAATGTTTGTCAGTAAATCTGAATTTTATTCGTCCTCCCATTTCTCGATCTAATTTTACAATTCTTAGCACAGTTGTAAGTCACTTTCAGCAAAGCAAACACAAATGAAATGTTCTATCTGGTCTGGTCTGAGCAATGGCGAATTCGAAATTATGAAGAGGCTCGTGATCGAAAGAAGCCTGGGCTCGACACAGAACGAGCCGAAAACACGAGGTTAGTTTAGCTCGGGCGCACCTTGAAGGATAGTTGCTTTAACAGGATAAAAATCTTATCTACGCTACTATAACCAGAGTTAGCCCTGGGTTATTTGGTGTCGTGTGAACAGGGCTTAAAGGCTGTCTGTTCTGTTGCTGATTTGATGCTTTACAAATATGCCTGTCATGTGATATTATGATTATTTATATGCAAGATCTTAAGCCTTAGTTGCCTTTCTCATTCAAAAAGTCGTTTATGCGTATAGCCACGAAAAATCGTAAACCGAAAAGGACATGGTACCTTTAGATATGAAATTTTGTCACTTAGATGTCAGTTACAAGCTTTGTTCAGAAGACAAAGACATAGCTAGACTAACAGTACGTGTATTTAAAGGATTAATGGTACAAAACCAAATAAAAAACAATGGAAAAAAGAGTAACAAAAACGCCGTTTGACTTCTTTTCATCCAAAACCTTGTTCTTTATCTCCCATATATTGTTTCCTTAGTGGATCATGCCAGGTAGCATCAGGGATCTGGGTGATAAGCCAATAAGAACAGATCTTAAAACGAATATAGAATCTTCATTTGTCCTGCTAGACTGTGCTTTTTCTTTAGATTTTTGATATACTTTGCCAATGAATCTTTGAAAACAAGACCATCGCTCGATGAAAAACTCATCACTGTTTTCTTATTGTTCTGAACAACAAATTCTTTCAAGGAAAATATTCTACCTCCTGTTAATAGGAAAATTGCAGTAACGCTAAAAATATTGTTTCCATCATCATGATTGGTGCTTCAGAGCTTTGTTCTTCAACAGTTCAGCAGACTTCAGTAGCTGTAAAAAGTAGATTGATTTTGATGTGCAGTAGATTAGACGTGACTGGAACGTGAATCTCAAGGATTTACTAGCAAATTGCCTTGGAATCGATACAGTCAGATTTATGGTGGAAAATATAGGATACGCTTTCAAAAAACAAAGAAAACCCAGACTCTTACTAGATATTCAGAAGATTTATTAAAGAACCTAAAATTAACAATATCTTGTAAAAATGTTGTGAAACTTTGCTAAGACGTGTATGAACCCCTGAAAGCACAAGAAAAATGACCATGAAGAGTCTTATGAGCAACTAGACAGCACTCAGTGGCTAGATGTTTATTTCAGACAAAATTGTTCCAAGCCACCCCATTTTATCATAATGGCTCGAAATAACGCATAAGAATAAAGTGGACCAGATTTTGATGAAAGATCGATGAAGCTATAACATACTAGCTCGATGTGCTCTTTTTGGTGTACTCCTGCATCCAGTAAATCATCCTGCGTGAAATCTAAGTAATCGAGATCGTCCCAGCCAGCAGCAACCAGCCGGTCATGGTATTGGTGTAGGTTAATTAGTTGCAACCAGTCTTCGACTGAAGTTGGACTATTCTTCAGCAGCGACTGTTGGGGTAAAAGAGAGATTTTACTTACAGCAGATATACAACTATGCAAAGATTGGGTGATCTTCCTGCAGACATACCAGGAAAAAGAGACACGCCTTGATTTTCATTTCAAAATTTCACAGCAGAACAAAAAATAAGACATTCCTATGACGTACGTGCGTATTACTTCATTCATGACAGAAAAAAATTATAAAATTTATCTTAAGCTGTGCCGTAGTATTGACTTGATAGGAAAAGTTGGCTCGGAAAGGCCCGAAACTCACTCTCAGTGATCTTGGCTTTGGCTTTGGTGCAGTATCTGACTGTTGCGAAGTCTAGAGGAAAAACACAACCTGACTAGCTGACAATGGTAGGCCATGGTAGAAAAATTCAAATTTATAATTGACCTAAATATATGAATAAAAAGACTTGTTAGTAGTATTATTACCATATCACTTCATGTTTGCTGGTACAGGGTCTTATTAATCTAAAGGGTATTGAGCTTTTGCTCTTCAAAGACATCAAATATCAATGGAGTCCTCTAGAGGTGAGTTTTGCATTACAACCAAATGAATGCAATAAAAACATTTTTCCAAAAAGCCCCCCTGGCCAATGAGATCGATTCCACAATGAAGAATTTTGGCATGCTAGAAATGATTTAATAGCTGTTAAGGATAACTGGCAAAAAAATACAAATAATATTTTACTCAGATTTGAAATGTTAATAAAGTAAACATAACTATGTGGACGACTTACGATTGCAGCATAAACCGAAGACGCTCGTCTCGGAACTGGTGGGGGTCTCTCCTGGTCATCGATCTAAAAGTACAATATAAATGCCGATTGTACAAATGGACTGATTTTCGGTTTCAAGACAATTTTGGCGATTTTCAGTGGGGCGAAGACAACCAGTGAAGGATAAACTGTTACAACGAATGGATTTTTAGCTACATTTTTCAAAACAGCTAAAGAATCGTGAAAATGAAATATGACGGTGAAGAAGTTAGTGTAATGATAACGAGAACAGCTGATGATAAAGATGATGATTATCATAATCTTAATGGTGATAACACAATGATAAAAATGTAAAAAAACAAAGTCTTCAGTACTCACTTCGGATCGCTGTTGAAGGTGTTGTGTACTGAAAAAAGCAAATAAATTAATCAGTTAGTAAACAGAGACTGCAGAAACTGACCTAAGGGCTTGAAATAAAGTAGTTTTAGGCAGTACGCTCTGACAATTTACCGCGAAAGCTCTATTTAACCAACATTCTAATAAGCCCCCCTCTCTACAAAGATCCATATCTCATACAAGAAAGACAGAAACACAAAGGCAAGACTTTGGAGGAAGATTGTGATGCTTTCTTGCGATAATTCTTCAATTTCAACTTTACGTGCTCTCGTAATGTAGTTTAAAATGTTTTGCCTAGCTCTTAAACAAAGACGTAGGTGTTGCAAGAACAGCTTGTTAAAATATGAGAAAATGGATCTTTTGATGAAAATGGAGCCATTATGGATCACTCTTGAAAACTACGGAGATAAATTCGACTGCACAGGTATTATTTCTCTTTGCTGCATTTAAATCAGCCTTCCTCCTCCTCTAAGAAGCCCCTTTCTGGGGTTAATCTAGACAAAATGCCACAACACATGGTTCACAACCTGGCTTCAATCGTGCAAAAAACAGTTTGTGCCAAACCTGAGCCGGGAATTAAGGCTATCAAATACTAAAACTATCTATAAAAATACTAAAAACATCGTTTAGTAATCAAAGTCACTGTGATCCTGAGTTAGATATTTTTCTGTTTCACCAAATAAAATAAAATTAAAGTTAAATTTAAATACCAGAGTGAAAAAAAAGATACAAATATCTTCACCAAATAATATTCGGTACAAATATTTACCTTTTGCTCATTCTTGGATCTTCTATCCAAATAATTTCTTTAAGCAAAGCAAAAAAAGGACTTTAAAAATCTCTTCGAAACTAGTAAAATACATAATGGGTATCACGTAACAACAGAAATCTTTAAAAATCGAAAGAGGCCGCAAAATATTGAAAAACCAAATGGAAATTATCATAATAAGTCCTATAATTTGTAAAATATGTAAGGGAGCTAAACGAAACAAGATTTGTATATTTGATTATGATGTTATATCTAAAAATGCAACTTAGTGCCTCGATGGAGACCAGCGAAATTCCACATAGAAGTCAACGTATGTTATAGTTGATGTCGATATTTAGGCATGTTTCTGATAAATTGGTCATCCGTTGTTACCGTCGCTATCATTAATGCTCGATACAACAACTCGATTTTTGACGTTGCAAGTGAATTCTAGACTTACTCCATTAGCCTCTGTTTCGCTAATGCCTCTGTTGTAGCGTCCGTAAAGTGAGGCTGTCGCGGCACAGAGGCTCATAGAGTAAGTCTAAGTGAATCCCAAGAGAATCAGTATATGGTATGAACAAGAGTTCTCTTTCTTGGTGATCGTTGCACTCGGGCGTTGGGGGGGGGGGGTACCTTAACAAGTTTGAAGGTACGGGGACGTGCCATTATTACCATAGGGGTACCTTTTTTCTGAAAAGTGCGGAATTATCGGTATCAGCTTTTGAAATTTGTACAATGTACCATTTTGGGGAAATATTGCAAAAATATTAGGAGGGAGAAAATGAATGTCCAGTTAGAGATAAAGGTATGAAATATGTGTAATATTGATATTTTGGGGCACAGGACATGCAAATTTGGTTAATGATTTATTATATACTTTAAATGCTCTACAGAATAATGGGTATAGTTTTCATCATGTTTGCGGAATTATGGGTCACATTTTTTCAGACATTTCCGGAGTTATGGGTCTAAAATTTTAACCAAAATGGCACAATCCCATCCAAAATTAGGCATAGTTTACCCCCCGAGTCTTTGCAGACATTGTAGCAGATATAGTCTTCCAACTCTCTCTATTTCGGCAAAGCTCAAGAAAACTAATTACCAAGGACCGAGTAATGGCGAATCGCTATTGGACCGTTACTTTGTTTTTAAAAGAACGAACAATTTTCGCAAAAATGTTTTAAAAACAGCTAATCGCTATTTGACCGTTACTTTGTTTTTAATAGAACGAACAATTTTCGCAAAAATGTTTTAAAAACAGCTACATTACAAAATTCTGTGCTTCCTTTGAACAATACGAGTCACACCGTCATTTAAAAAACCTGCCCCATATTTGTGTCTCTAAAAATGTTACAAACAAACTAGCAGCTTTAACCCATTTTGCAGGAGCAAATTGACATTCTGTTATCCCGCCTACCCGATATCGTATGAGTACAATGCAGCTTTTCAAGTGCTAGGATAAATATATTGAGATACGTTATTACGTCACCAATAATCGATGTAAGAAAATATTATCTCGAATGCGCATTAGGACTTACCAGAAGTTGAGTCAGGCTGTTGAGTTGAAATTGGAGTGGAAAGCTGTCTACTGAGACGCTTTTTGGGAGGCACTGGAGGAGCAGCTTTTGGGGAAAAACAACGAAATAAATAATATGCAAGGGAAATTGCACATTTAAATATATTCTCAAGATATCCAGTGAAAATAGATTGATCAAAGCATAATTCTCCACTAAGTTCGTTAAATTAATGAAACAGGATTTTATTTTGCGTTGTCCGCGTACATTGTTATTACAAGACTTGCCTATTTGTTCGTTCAGACCTGGGGGCAGTTAGGCAGTGACATCATAATCAAATAATCATGAAACAAAGTATGAAAGGGCAGTTATTTCACACGCAGCAGAACTGTGTCAAATGGAACGGCCCAGTGAATTATACGGTGAAGAATTCCCGCGTAAATGCAATGATGGATTCCCGCGTAATGAGCGAACACGACTGGTCTTAATGACTGGCTTAATTCAAAGATTTAATCAACACTCACCAGAACCAGAGTCCCGGTCAGCACTAGCCTTTTTAGGAAAATAAAAGTCAGCAGCGCTGAAGGTTGCTAGAGAAAAAAATTGCAATTATTGCAGGTGAAAAATCTAGCAGTTGAGCAGTGTATGATCTCCGTAAAAACATCAAGCAAAAGTGCAGAGCGAGGAAAAAATGATTTGCAAAATAACCTAGATGAGCTCAAATAGAAATAGAAAATGTTTCCATTTTTAGGCATTAAAAAAATATATGTAACTATTTCAGCAAATAAAGTATTTTGGCAAAAATTCTTTCCATTGAGTCATTAATCAAAGATCTTTGTCCGATTAGTATTTCCTCGCGCCTAGCCTCTGGTTTCCCAGCCAAATAATCTCAGCCTACCAACCTTCGTGTTCCTTTTCGTTTGTGAAATTGCTTACAATTTCATAGTTGCCAGAAAGCGTTGAATTATGCATCGTCCGCCTTCGTTGATCTAAGAGTAAAATGGCCACGGATGTGTAAGTCGGTACACAGGTTGAGCTGCATACAAATGAGATGAGCATTTTAAAGATAAACAACAAAAGTTTCCTTGTTGGAGAACAGAACAAACTGATCATAGGCATTGTCAACAGTACAAGGGTTGCTCTCATATTGTTGTTATAACATAGCTGAAGAAACTCACAAGCATGGAACTTACCTAGATCTACATTTTCTGTGGTACATGAGCTGGAATCAACTGACGCCACGGAAGCTGCAAGAGCAAAACCATCATAAGAAAAAAAATCATCTTTAATGACAGCAAAGATACCTAAGATTGACGGAGCATTTGCAGGCACCACAAAACCACATAAAACAGTTTAACATTTAATGTGCACGGATAATTTACCCTACCATAGAGCTACCATCCCATTCTCCCCTACCCCCCCCCCTCCCATGTACGAATACGGATCATTTTTGCTTATACGTTCCCATCTGAAAAGGCATAAAAGGAAGTTACAACCTTTGAGCTACATCATCATAGCGTGTAAGCAATAGCCATTCGTAAAAAATATGGCGTTAAAAAATGAAACAGCAGAGACACGGTGTTTTTCAAACTAACATAAACCCTTGACTCTACTTTGCTATAAGCGATTTATTTACCATTTTCCAATGATTCTCCAATACTTCGTAAATCTGCAATGAAATAAGAAGAGGCAAACAGTTTCTAACTTGTTGTCCTGTCCTGTAACAAGCACAACATAGGTGACAACTTCATGGGGGCTGGGAGGCTTTGTGGCTCTAGCTCCCCAGCCCCATTGGAATTTTTAGGAGGGGTTCAGCCATCCCTAGCAATTATTGGTACCAGTTTTAATAAAAAGTGTGGAATTATTGGTACCAGTTTTTTTTAAATATGTGCAGAATTGTTAGTACCGTTTTAAGATACACGCACCATTTTTTAAAAATATTGCAAAATTTGTATGCCATGCGAAATTATGGGTCTGGTTTTCAATATGTTTGCGGACTTATGGATGATATTTTTTCAGACATGTCCAGACATATGGGTCCAAATTTTGAACTAAAAGTGCACGTCTCCGTCCAAACTTGGCTTAGTTGTCCCCGAGATGGGTATTTTCTACACTATATATTCCCCTTTTAATAATAATATTTTCGTTTCAAAACTTGAGCCACTCCTGGGAAAACTCAAATATCCAAACAATTCATTTTGATTAATATTGGTAAGCGACTGTTGGCAGATTGTACACCAAAATCGTCGTTTTATACCATTGGCAAGATTCGAATATTGTACCAAAATTCGAATGTAGTTTGAGAAACTACGGAGAACACATTGACGGCTTAAGATATTAAAGACAAAGTTGTGCAAGACTGAAGGATAAAGCTGTGAGTTCAGGCTAAGCAAACTAAGTCATTTTGCTCACCCGAGACATTTTTTACCACCATGTCAACATTCTTTTGACTTGGCTGGTTGACGGTTGCACGGACCCTGCAAAAAACGACGAAGCTATCAAAAGCGTTTGCAAACACACAAAAGGGTTTTAGACTTCGCTCAAGACTGATTTCTATGGATTACAGCTTTCAAACATAAATATGATTATTTCTAACCCTAAGATTTCGTATAACTATAGATTTCAAATGAAAGCGTAAGATCTGGATGATTTTTTTGGACATTTATCAAAACTGTTATAAATATTTTTATTCTCGTAAGAAATGTACGAAAAAACTGCAAAATTACAGCGACGATACCACCGGGAGTAAAATGGTACATATCTTCCTAGTGGATATACGAAACGCCAAACAAATATACGAAAAGGGAATAAAATTCAAGGGATACAGAAGCTACAAGTACACTCTTCCTTGCCATAACAGCCCATTTTAATTGTGCATGTGAAGGCTGCGAGAACTAGACATGTATGGCTTGTGAGTTCAAGAGTTTCGTTTAATGTAGATTTTGTATCCTTAAGAAAAGATATATAAACATAGAATTGGAAATTTTAGAAAGAGCTACGAATACAGGGACATACAAGTGCTTTTATCATGTCTTTAAGAAAATTTTAATACGTCTCTTGAAGTTATGATTACGATAAAAGTAGAGAACAAATGCATTATACTCTGTCATACATTAACCTTATTTCCCCACTTTCATCGCCAAGATGCGTCAATGTGGAGGTAACTTCTTCGATGCCACCACGTATCAGCCTCTTAACAGATAGCACAAATTCACCTAAAAGAGGCCAAGTTATTACTCAAAGAGAGCGCTATTTTAAAGAAGTCTTCATTACCATGTATGACCATTACTATTGTTTAAGCTATCTACGTTATGTATTCTACACATTTTGAGATCCGACAATATCATCTGAGTGTGGATGAAATGAATTTATCTTGGTGCTTAGTTTCGCTATAATCATAATGACAGTACTATCAAGTTTTCGCCTAGAATAACGTAGCAATACCAAACTTATAAAACTCTTGTTAAACTTGCTAGCCCTAGCCTATGCAATCTTTAAATATTTTGTTGGGCAGAAATAGGATACGCACACCACCCACTGACCCTATGTTTGGCTAATAGTCTTTGCCGCGCTTGTCTCAGTAAACCTGATAAGCAAATACATCTGGTGTCTCTGAATTACCAAAAATGGCATTCAACGGCAAATACAAGGACTGATACTTGATATTCATAATACTCGAGACACATGACCAAACTTTTGGCATAAAGGACAGAGTTACGCGGTAGAAAACTGATCTATAGATTCGTGTATGTAGAATGCTAAGTTTGGAATTCATGTATGATAATAATATTCCATACCATATGACTCGTGTCCATCTTCTCCCTTAATTGCTATTTGGATGTGCTGGTCCTCAAGGTAGCCTTGATTTGACAAGGCAGGTATTAGCTATAGAAAAATATACCATATTTAGGTTTAATAAAGAAAAATGAAAAGATTCTTTTTGATGAGGCAAACCTATAATAGCAGAATTTGCACATTTTTACGTCTTAAATATGAGCATAAAAATTTTCTCTTCAGTTTAGCCATCTTCAGATTTTGATTTAACGCTCTTCAAAATAAAAGAAAAATTTGGGACATTAACTTTCCAAGGGGTGGAAGTTTACAATTAGTTACCTGGGAAAGAACTAAAAGAAACGGTCGACGAGGGGATGGAGGAGGACGATTGATAATGATATTTTACGATTCATGCGCTGACATTTGGTGCTTCTTCAATGTCAGGTCATCCATCTTGTTTTGCAACTCGCGAAGTTTTGACGTGAAAAGCTCCGGGAAAGTGTTCACATCACACTAAAACCACTCTTGAGTGCTGTGCATGAGACATCCAGAATGGAGTTTTTTCACGCAGATAATCGGAGCGTTACGCATAGGATACCTTTGGCATATTATGAACATTTAAAAAGCCCTATCCGACATGAAAATCAGGACGCCTCAATAACTATCCAGTATAGTGTGAACGGGGCCTTAGTTATTAAATCGCTCTGTTTAGCATTTCCCCCGCATTCTCAAATTACGATAACTGTAAAAATTACCTTCGGGATATCATCTGTTTTCCAAGCAGGATATGAATGTACGGCATCATCTTTCTGTGAATGCCTCCTGTCTCTCCAGTCCGATATAGAATTTAGTTTGGATTCAAGATGGCCTGAAAATAAATCCGTAAGGTCACCCCCTTAAACTCACAAATACACAATACCATAAAAGCACCAAAGACAGTAATGGCCAACTAAGTATTGAGTACATGACTTATTTGTTTTGCTATATCTCAGTCCAAACAGAAACTTCTGATCTGCAGTTGCAAAAACGACATGCCATGGAATAAGTGTGACACGGATCAAGGGGAAGGGGTAGAATGGCTGACAAGTAGGCAGTTTGGGATTGTGACTTTTATGTTGCAGATTAGATCAAAAGCCTTTGTTTTGAAGCATTGGCAAACAAGAAGGCTTTTAACCCTGCATATATATATAAAATAATTTGGACTGCCTGCCAATTCTGTCCGCGAAAACACGACAGAGAAACGTCCTTTAGAGAAACATAGATCTCACACACAAATCACTTTACCTTCAAGGCACGTCGAGCAAAAATACAACAAGAATCGAGTTTGGCAGCTCGTTCGTATCTGAGGAAAATAAATTGAATTGTTGAAGATTTTTACTGAAGATTATTCAAGCAAAACTATTCAAAATTATGTAAGGCCTCCCTTAGAAGCCTCAAACAAAGACAAAGCCAAGGTTAAAAATGTCTTAAACACATAAGGGAGCTAAGAAACAGAAAAGCAATTTGTGAGATGTCAGAATTTTATAAAACAACAAACATACAAACTGTGGGTTTCAAAATAAGACCGGGATATATTTAAATAATAACAACAACAACAGCAATAGCAGCAACAACAACAGCAGCAGTAGCAGCAACAACAGCAACAACAACAACAACAGAAACAATAACTTACCTTAGCCTCAACGTGCAAAAATTCAATGACTGTATTCTGCCCTGATTTGATATGGCAACCTGAAAAAAGAGTTGGCTTATAGAGATTGAACTCAAACTGTCTGTGGGAATCACAGCCTTAGGGCGAAGAGTAATCTAAGAGTAATCGCATAGTGGTTTAGTAAGGATTCTGACTGATTTGCAACACACTAATTACCTTTAACAAATCAGAATCACAGAAAAAATCTGGACGAAATACTAGGGCATGGGTGGTGTCACTGGACTGTCTATACACACGTGGAAAGTATTTAATAGAAACTTAAAAAGATTTATTAGGACTTTCAGAACTATGGCAATATGTTGAGGATATCAAAAGATACGAGCTTTCCACTAACGCTCGATCCACAACATCAACGGCTTTTCCTTTTACGTCAGTTCATATTCAACAAATAGAACAATTTTTACAGCTGTCTGTTATGAAATTAAAGCTATTAAAAGCAAGAAACAAACAAACAACTCTTGAAAACGAATATAAACATGTAAAACACTCACTAATATCCTCTGACTGGGAAAGTATCCCAACATCGAAGGCTGCAAACACTGGTGCATGGTCGCTTGTTTCTATATCTTCAGTCGATCCTAGGTCGAAAGAGGACACACGAAGATCATGTTGCTGGACCCTTTTAATAAGCTAATTTGGGGGCAATTGCCCCTCTATCCCCAGTGACCTTTAACTGTTTAAAACAATAGGCTATTAGCCTCCTCCTTATATGAATAAATGCTTGTCCCCCAGCCGAGTTCCCTTCGAAAAAGCTTTGCTTTGTTGGGAGTGTTTGACATGAGACATGGTTATCCTATGCGGCGGAATGGGATATTATTGTTGCCTCACAAAGACTTCAGCGTTGGATGCAAATAATTGAAGTGAATGACTATCTTTAGCAATTTTTTCTGCTAATTGTGAACTCGGAATCATCCGCAAAAGCCTTATTTTAATTTCTACATCTTTCGATGTTTAATTCCTCTAACTTTGCCTTTTATTGATCTGCTTCATTCTCTCTAATCCCCCTTCACAAATTTATTGCAATCATTAAGTTTGGTACCCATATAATTCATCAAAACCTGAGAACATTGGCTATGAAACTATTCAAAGAGTTTCAGCTCACGAGATGTCGAAAAAGCGACTTAGGATGAAGCAACTACCTCTGGGGTGGAAACATCAACATCATTACCCTAATTGAAGAAATTTTAAAGGCCTTAAAAAATCGTCTTGAAAACTTAGATACTCTAAATATTATGATTAAGAAGGCCTTCAATCCTCCTAAATTACGTTGCAATCAGATAAATATTTTTGCTGCAATCATTTCGTAATCTCCTTCAAAGAATAACTTAATTATATACCATATGCTATGTTCTGTATAAAGACTTCTGGAAAAGTCTTCCATAAAATTCGGTCTGGCCAAGAAGGTACATTTGTAACATTCTATAAAGAGAAAAAGATACATATAGATCTAAATTAGAAAAAAAATTGTCCATCAAGACAACCTTTCCTTTCAAATATATTACTTTGCTCATCACATTGAGGTATTTTTTCCACAATTTTCGAAGACTGCTATTGAAAGAATACTGTTCTCAGGGCGACACGAGCCTCGAAAAAAAGAAAATATCAACTTACCGCGCCAGGTTTTTTCTTCAACCAAATATACATGTTATGAGATCCTGCCTTAAATCTATAAGTTGGCCGAAAAGTAATCTTCTCTTCATCTGCCAAAAGAATGGAAGACAAATGATTTGAAACACCGTGGTGTAGATCAATTTTAGCCTTGGTTTTAAAATTTGATGAAACTTTCTCCCTCAATAAAACCCATGGCCCAGGAATAGGTCAGCTTTTCAGACTTTTAATGCCCATCAACTGACACTGCGCTTACATAAAGCTCCATAAACCCTTATCAAAAAGTATATATGGGTGGTAAACGTAGAGTAAATCTTGCCTTATTGTCCAAATTTTTATGGGTGTAACATCACAGATAAATACACGTATGAAACTAAAGTAATTGCAAAAGAGAGAGGTTAGGTTAAGGAAGTCGAAAAAGCATACTAACTAAGGAGACTGTTATGAATACAAAGTCTATTGTAAGAGCGATCCCCGTCTTTTTATATCTACCAAAATGATCCCTAGTCATTGATTTTCTACCGGATGTGATATACCCCGTCGTTGCTGTCATGAGATACCAGGCTAGTTGGAGGCTCTTGTTTACCCACCCCCTTGTCTTTGCTAAGAGAGTACAGGATTGAACTTACCAAAACCAAAAAAAGCATTTCCAGCGGCCTTTTCTTGCAGTAGTTGATCATGCTTCAACAGCGTGTCCAGGTCATTTACCATTACCAATTTGATCACTTTCTGCAAAATACGACACACGACAAAATATGAAGCGGCTATGCCTGCCAAAAATCTGCTAGCTGAATCTATAATGTCTGCCAAAAATCTTGGTACATTGTACAAAATTTTCGGCGTTTTATATTACATCCTCATATCTCCTCTTCCCGAAAATGCTATTCAATGCAAAGAATTCTCTTCGCAATTGACACAACAAAAAACATTAAAGATACACGGTGACGGTTTTTTTACCAGAAACTTAATTTTCCGGTTAACTTTTAACAACGATACTTAAACCATAGGGTTTTCCAAGAGGTTCTGGCGGGGATTGTATCTCTGAACAATACCTAAAAATATTATTCTGTTGTCTGTTACATTGCCCTTTTTTCATTCCCGAAATCTACAATCTAAAATCGCCTAAAATCTCGATTTTCCAAAAAATTGGTTAGTTGATGTTTTGCACTATTATAATTGAAAGAGAGAGGACAACATCGATAACAATTTATTCGAAGATACTTTAGATGCAGACTAATCTTGTGAAATGTATCTGCTTGCCGACAAATCAAAAAGAGAAACCAAAAGAGAAAAATTATTTCTTGATTTCACTCAAAAGTTTCTTAGAAGTTAGCTTTTATCAAGTGTCTATTGTAACATGTTCTACACTGAAACACTTCGTTTCTGTCTAATCAAAATCTTACTTACACCAGCCCCCCTTCCAATAAAAAGAATAGTTAAGCAGTGCTATGTCACAGTAATAAATGGAATTCAATACCAACCACTATCTCCAACGACTGCACTCGATAATTCAAATCGCCAAACCAAAACAAATGATGGAAATGGTTGGAGATATCAAAAACTCCTTGTTGGCCTAAATTCAAGCTTTGAAGAATATCGTGGAAATTTCTGTTTCGTCTAAAATAAAAGAGGATTTCACTTGATGTTAAGGAAAAAACTTAACGCGATTGGATAACGACAGGCAGGGTTACAGGTATGCAGGTAATGAAATTTATAGTCTATGATTTAGTCTATGAAATAGTATTTGGTAGGAAGAAATGTTTTATTTGGCAATAAATTCCTTGATATGCATGAATTATAGTTAGGAAGATTCTCTGTCTTTGCATGTGACTCACTTAGCTACACGCTCAACTCTTGCTTGCATGTGTGCGTTGACAAAACAAAACGAGGTGCTCCCGAAATAGAAAGAGATACCAACGGCGCCTTTATTTCCTGAAAGTAAGAAACAAATATACAGTGATAAATGTAATAGGGTCAAAACGTAGCGTGATCATGTGACAAAAATGATATCCTGAAGCAAGAGCAAGCAAGCGTGTTGAATGCAACAGAGGCCGACTGTACTTGAAATGCAAGCCAATATAATGTATAATGTTTCCCTATTTGATATGCTTTTACCAATTAAAGGTTAATCTTATTTTGCCTCATGCCTTGAAGAAATAGCTGTAAAAGCTTTGATTTTCTAAAGGACAGGACAGTTTAAGGTTGTTGCTTCAACTTTTACGTCAAATGCGATCATCAGGCAACTATCCTTGTATTTACATACTCCCATACACTTTTATATGTTATACATTTACATATTACATTGACACATCAACTGTTAACGCTGATTAAAGCTGTAAGTTAAGCAAAAATGTATATATACCATATCTAGGTTTTTCATAGCATCAGTAAGTATTTTTTAGAATTGCACTGTTTGTAAATGTGGCAATAATTAGCTTACTATAGAAATTCGCAAACTTAAAATAAAATGCTAATTGCCCATGAGTGGGTATAGCTAACTATCGTTTGGAAGGTTACAAAGAAACATTGCAGCAAAAACGGACTGATGAGTAAACTAAACAACTTTACCAAGCGCATTTGCCAGGCCAGTTTTGACAACAGACTGCTTTACCATGTTAACCTTGCCTGCATGGGCGGGTTTGACGAACACAACAAGCCTAATATCCCAAAGAGATCCTCTCCCAATCTACAAAGCAAAGGAGGCAGAACAATAACATACATTAATACAAACATCTGGACATAACTATCAGCTGACAGTGATCTTTCCGGTATAATGGGTGCTTTACATTGGAGGAGGAGGCAAGGCAGAGAAACATGTGGTACGTAGTTGATATCAGATGTAGCTAACTTTGAAATTGGACACAAGAACAAGAAAGCAGCACATTAGCTAGTAACAAGACATAATGAATATTCTGAAGATTATTTCCAAAAAAGGGAGAGATAGGTTCTTAGCTCATTCGACGGATTTTCGAGTTTGTTGAGGGGGAAAAACCGCAAACATCTTAAAGGTAACTGCAATACTTGAAGGTAGCAAGGAGCAACATTGCACAGACAGGAAGAGTAGCATTCTTTGGCACATCATGTACTTCACCCGTAATTATTAACCCTTTACGGTTATTCCATTTCTCCTTTCATATACCTACTTGACTTGTGCGCACTTAGCAAAGCTATGTTAAGTTCGAAATACACATGGTCATTCTACTTCTTTGCAGCAATAACTAACCCTCATTAGCTTTACGAAGTCCAAAAACAGCTCTCTATTACATAATACTTCTCGAGAGTAGAATTTATTTAAATTTTAAAAATTACGACATATATTGTAAGAAAACATTTCATAACTAAGTTAGTGTTGTTATGTATATATTTGTATCTATGCCTTAAGAATTTACAAGTAAAATAGGAAACTGTCTTATTGGAGTCTTTCCAGATGCATTTTTAGCTCTGTTGAATATCTTAAATAAAAATCTCAAATAAAAATCTCTAATAAAAATCTCTAATGAAAAAGCTGGAAATCAGGCACACTGATATAAGCCTCTGCGAATTCAGTTCATACCAATTCAAATTTTTCTGAAATATCACTGAATACTCACCAGGTCGTAATCGATGTTAAAAAGCTTCTTTAAAAAATATTTTATCTTAGCAATCCATTCCTTTTCATGGATTCCACTTTCCTACAAAAAAGTTGGTAAAATTAGTGCTACTGATGAAGATGCAGAAAAATGAAACTTAAATTCATGGGGTTTGGGAAAATAAGATGAAGCAATCAAGATCTTTTGAAAAAAGGATAACGAAGTTAAAATATTAAGAAGAAGAACAGGAACATAAGTGTATTATAGAGAATCTTCGTCATTTTATGTCATTTTTACTCCTACTAAGGAAGTTATTTCTTTGGAAATCCTCTTAAAATCTACCATCATTTATGATCGTATTCCTTTCAAAATTCATGCAATAGTTTAAGAAAATTGTCATTTTCACGTTGCTATCTTTTACAACCACGAAAACCTGCCTAGTCAGTCCAGTCAGTAGCAGTGTTGATTCTATTTAGAGCATCTTTGAATTTTTGAGGTTAAACAACTAAAAATGATTTGATCATGACGCTTGCTCGAACAAAATATCTTGATAATAAGGAACCTTAGTGCCCGAAACTTAAAGAACAGTATGGTTCGTGTGTTTCTGTATCCTTTCAACTCTCAGTATTATTGACGGAGCAAGTGTAGTACCGAAAGTTCTGCGAATAAACGTCCCAAAGAGATATTCATTTTAACAAAGAACTTTAATTACATTATCAATAAGGCAGGAAAACGAAATTAAGCAAAACCTCAATAGGACAACATGAAATGCTATTTTTACTAGGCTTTTCAAAAACGGTTATTCGCATACCTGTGTTCCAATAGCAACAATGTCATAGGGGTTCTCTACAGTCTCTCCTTCGGGCTTTTCCTTACCATTGCCTACACATTTGAACCAAGAACTCAAATTCTCTGGAGGCTGAGCGTTACCTGTAGGGATGAGGAAAGAGGAGGTGACAAAAAGAAATGGTACTTAGGGTGAACAAAGTTGTAGTTCTCAAACTAATTTATGGTCAGTCAAGCTATCCAAAAAATATGGCTTTTACTTAAAACATTAACCAGTTTCTTCGCAATCTCATCTCCCTAATGAATATCTAGTTTTATCCAATATTAGAAGTACGGCACTTGCACTACCTGGAACAACTTACCCATATTCCAACTGCCAATGAATACAGACAATTGATTAAGTGCGCCATTCCGAGAGTGCGAATGCATGTTTTTCATTCTCTCTACCATGTGACAAAACAGTTCACGTGACTGAAAAAGACAATCAATAAGGATACATCACAAACCTTCAATTATTTGTCACAGGGACAGCCAAGCTGTAGCTAGCTGTACTGCTACCCATTCGTATATCCTTATATTTAATTTGATAATACTTTTAGATGCATCTTCCTTGGTTTCTACAAATGACTTGCCTCTGATCTGATCTACTGCAATCTTTACGTCTGACAAAATGTCCAAGCTGACATAATATTGTCTTGTTCTCTAATAGCATTTAGAGCTTTTATAAATCATCTGTAGACTAGTATTTTTCAAAAGTGATAACTCGTCATGGCGATTCTTCAAAAGTGCTGAATTTAAATCTTTCCAAGGTTTGTCCTGGTTTGGTCCTTTTCGTTTTTTTGGCTCAGAGATGGTCCGAAGGGTGACCCAGGATTGGAGATGAAAAATCTATTACAAAAAAGTCTTCAAATTTCCCTTGCTTCACACAAAGCAATTCGATTTCAGCAATAGAAAAAGGTGTCGAATGTGTCAAATAGGTTTTTGGTAGATGATTTAAACTGCTAGTGGGCCATTTTCAAATGGAGAAAAATTTTGCCTCAAAGTGCTTTTACCAAAAAGCTGTTCTGCAGCCCCTAATACTTTTAAACAGTACTTTGGTCCCTTTTTCGATTTAACAGAGTACTAATTGGCACTGCTTGGTCCTTTTTCCGGTTTTTTGTCATTTGTCGGAGAAAAGAAATAAAAACCGAATCGCTAATCAGCTGTTACATAGAAATTCGTCTCATATTCTTTTTCGAAATCATATTCAATTTTTCACAATGGCACATTCATATCCAGTATAGGGTTGTCAGATGGAAATTACAAAGAAAAGGCTATAAAAAAGTCTTTAAGCAGGCAAATTGTGAAACATTTCAAACAAGATACATTACTAGGAACCCGAAAATGCAAGTATAAAAATTGGAAACAAACTCTGTGTGAAAGCAAATACTGCTTTGATAAAAATGTGCCCCGTGTGAGGATCGAACTCACGACCTTCAGATTATGAGACTGACGCGCTACCTACTGCGCTAACGAGGCCTTGAGCTCCTGCATGAGAAACAGCCTCCAAATTTGTATATAAAGACGATAACAAGAACAACCTTTTTACGACGCGGAGTTATCCGTAAAAGCTTTATTAGGCCCCCAGGTGGGGGGGGGGGGGGTTATTTATTTTTCAATCCTAGAGGTGGGCTTAAAAGATCGGGGGGCTTATAAGAGAGAGGGGGCTTATTAAAAATTTGAAGCAAAAATATTTTAAAAATGCCCTTGTCTATTTTTTGTTATAAAAATGTCATACAAATGTTCTCAGAAAACTTCGCTAGCAGCTTTGAAAGTCTAATTAATCAATTACAGGCTCCTTATCTTCATCAGAATCACCAGGATCAATTGTTAACCCTGAGACATCTTCTATACAAATTTCAACTGACTTCTTAGGCGCACAAGTAAGTCTTTACATTGGTCGTATTCAATGCACATGATTATCATCACACCCGACCCTCTAGATGCGCATGTTTCCCTTGTTTGACAACAAAGGTCAAAGAGGGTTAGGGGGCTTAATAGAAGAGTGGGGGCTTATTTTAAGTTTTTGCTTGATAAGGAGGGGCTTAATAGAGAGGGGGGCTTAATAGAGAAAGAGAGGGAGAAAGGTACTTTCGAAAAAGGTATAGAAAGATTTAAGACAATCTTACGGAAGAAGTACGGGGGGGGGGGTACCATTACAGATTTAGAATTATCTTAATGGGAGTGAGGGTTCGCTGAAACTATTTGAAAGCTAAGGGAAAGTTAATAAAACACGATTTTTTATGGCTAAGTAAAAGATAGGTTGACAAAAAGGTAAACCATGAAATGTTACCTTGAAATCTTCGAAATTATAAGTCGTAGTTTTCTTGCCAATTGTTATTCCGAGGCTGGTTTTGGTTGACTTGTCTTTGAGAAGCTGCGCAACTGCAAACAAAAATACGTCATGTTTCCGAGTGTGTTTTTAAAAGGCCACACCGTTATGAGAAAGCAGGTACACAAACATTGAAATACATTATAAGGATAGCATCATCACAACAATGTTATCTGTAAATTTCTAAATACAAGATTAGAATCTTTATGCTCATAACTGGTTTTGAGTTCCAGTTAGCAAAAAATCTGTTAAAGAAAAACTTTATATTTACAAAAGTCGGAGCCGAAATGCTTTTCAAGGTTGAAATATATGGAGGTAGATTTTCGCATATTGTACTCAGCAGGCTATTTTTTTATCGCTTATTTGCATACGTAAAGTAGAAAATACAGAAAATAGTGAAGAATGAGCAAAAGTCTAGTGTATTAAAATTGTCGGAAGCTGTAGCAGGACTAAAGATAAGGGTACTCTTAGCACTTAACGGTTAGGCTTATCTGGCCTGAATTGAAAAGTGATTCGACAGTAATAATATAATAGATGGCAACGGTAGTGGAATAACTATTGTGACTATATAAATGTATTGTGACTATATAAAGTTTGACAGCACAAATGATGGCGGAGGCAGTTGTTAACCTTTTTAAACAAAAATTCAAGTGACAATTCTGAAATTTTAATGGCAGTAAACGTATTAATACAGTAATGTTAGGTGCTACAATGTGTTAACAAAGAAGCAATGGTGAATAGATTTGCAATGGCTATGTCCGTTACTACCTACCATACAAATAGGGTGAATAACCATGAAAGATTGTGTAAGGTAACTCACTGCTTTCTTGATCCTCGGTGTTTGATGCATCTTGGTAGTCCTCTGGATTCTTTAAAAATGCTATTTTCCCTTTTAAAAAAATTGTTTTGCTACAGCCTGGTTGATAATATTAAAAGCAACTGATACTTTTTGGTACATTAACAAAGTTCATTTGAGGTCAGTTCAGATCAGGCGAGGTTAGATGAGGTCAGTTGAGGTCAGTGGAGGTCAGGTGAGGTCAGATAAAGTCAGGTGAGATCAGTTGAGGTCAGGTCAGTTTGAAATAAGAAGCAGAAATCGTAAAAGGGGGAGAAAAAAGTGGAAAACGCAAGATATGAATAGGTTATGGGAGCAACTGAGGGACGAGATCAAAAGCGAACCACACAAAATAAAAGCATAAAAATTACATTTTCTACAAGAAACGAGCTATTATTCTTGTTATTTTCAGTCCTTTCTCCTGAAGAATGAAATAGCAATTGCTTCAAATTCATTTTAAGAAGAATATGTTTAGGCTACGATGAAAACACAATAATCAACAGGACAGGTCGTAGTAAGAAAGGGGGACATTAGTTTACAAAACAATGATCACATCCCATTTATTTCTGACACCTGACAACACTTTTGTCCCAGAGATCATACCAGGTTGATGCTAACCTCAATACCTTTTTTACGTTTAACTAAAATTTTGTCAAAAGGGAAAAATTGTACACGATGTTGTTTGATCATATAATGCTCCAACAAGGTTACTCCAGACTTACCCTCTTTCATGTTCAATGAGATGCAGATCTTGGTTTTGCTGTTCCCTTTACAAGCCTTTGAAAAGTTGTATATATCTCATTTATATCTCATTTATATTTATATCTTATTTATATATTATCTTATAAGAGAGTATTACACTCATTAGAGATGAAATTGGAGTAAGAAAATTTACCATTGTTCTGCGATGGGGGAATTAATTTCTTCTAGATTATATAATTTCTGAATTGATCTTAGTGTAATGCGAAAAATGCGAAAAAATACGTAAGTTAGAAGAACGTTGAATAATTTGATAAGTATCGATACTTGTAATATAGCTGGTGTAGGATGATACAATCGATGATAACCATCGGGTAAACATCAACAACAATGCAGCTCAGTCGAATCCTACTTGGCTCTTTAAAAGTAAATTTGCTGATGACGTACCGAGAAAAATTGGCATATTCCTTGCCGATGTCTTGACAACGGGCTCTTTGGTCGCTCGATATTGGGAATGACCTGAGATGTCTCTTGGTGGCCCATTAGTGCCTCTTCTTGACTTCTACCGCTGTAATCTTTCAATACTTTATAGGTCTAAAAAATTCAAAATGGTACAATTGGAGCCTCGTGTATAGAGTGTTTCAACAATTACATCATAAACAGCCAAATCACTTAAAAGGGTAGTACATTTTGCGAAACTCACAATTAAGTTTCTTTGCCATCACGAATAGTTACATTTGTTTGAGAAGTTGAATATTGACAGAAGCTGAATAATTTAAGCTTCATAGTTCTTTACGATATTAGTCAGTTAACCATACCAGAATCCGGTACAAAAGATTCATGTAGCTTCTAATAAGAGGCATGATTTATGTCTTAATAATTGATGTTGTCTAACAAAGTAGCTAGGAGTTCATTTAAGGATAACCTTTGTTTCTATGCTTCCAATATGAGATTTGCAAACACTGAGTTGATTGACTATGCCTTCGAAATCAGCTGAATATGCTGTGGAGCCCTGCAAGAAGAGAAAACTCACCAAAAACTGAAAGATAAAGATGGTCTATACAAATTCATCTTTAGAATATTCGAATTTGCTCCTTCTTAAGAATTTTAGAATTTTCAAAGTGCAATACAGCTGCTTCATTCACATTTAGTCTGCTTTGTTTATCCCTAGCAAAACTGTTCGTTAATGCCGTTTCAAAATCTTTGTATCATTGATATCGTTACATGGTCATAGATCTCAGAGCATCAAACAAAAAATACAGAACAATCTTCTTCTAAATTTGAATTTTACGTTGTTACATAAATTGCTCAACGTTGAAAAAAAATACTTGACAAAAGACTAGAAGAAGTTTAAATTTGAACAGCAAGATGTCTAAAAGAAGCTTTGTTTTGTCTAGCAAGATGGCTAGAAAAGCATATATCTGACCACCAAGAAATCTAAAAGAAGCTTTTTCCTGACTTGCACGTTGACTGGAAGAAGCTTTTGCCTGACTTGCAAGACGACTTCGAAAAAGCTTTAGCCTAAATAGCAAGATGACTAAAAGAAGCTTTAGCCTGATTAGCAAAAAGACTAGAAGAGGTAAAAAAAGAAAGTAAAAGGTCTCCACTGTACTGATCATTCTCAATATTTCCTATATTTGTTCATTCTTCGACTGCTTTGGCTACACGCCTAAACGGAACATACCTTCGCTTGGTGTGCACTTTGAACTAAGCAACTTCTTCTTTTCTGAAAAGTAATCCACAAACACTTGTCACAGTACATTATCTCAGAGAATGCAATTTTCAACTATGTTGAAAATAACAAAACTTCACAACGTTGTATACGAACGTGTTTGATGAGGTTTCTTCCAGAAATTCCAACCTTAAAGTTTTGCTTTGCTGGCCTTCCAGTACCTATGTTCATCTGATCATTCTTATTGAAAGAATCTTACGTATCCAAAAATCTCAATGTTGTACTTGCTTGTCAATGACGCTAGCTGCACTTTATCTAGGACCGTATTTTCATCCATTCTGCTATAGGGAACTTTATGAAGTAAACGTCACCTTCCAAGGGATCTCTTGAACCCGATAACCCGTTCAGTTGCTATGCATTGGACTAGAAGTAAGGTATTGCCTTCTTTACAAACATGCTTTTCGTTATATATTAAATTAATCTATAAACATGCATGATACATACCGATCTGGTGTCGTTTTCCCCAACATCGAATAACTCCAACAAAAAGTCTAACTTTTTACTAAACGCATCGAGAGATCTAAAAAGGAAAACAGAAATTCAAAAATTTTATAATAGTTTATAATGGCATTTATCTATCCAAAAAACAAAAAATAGACCACATAAAATTCGGTCAAGAATACAAAAATGTTGAATTCACAGCTCTCTTTGTTGAGCTACCTGCAGTGGCATGTTGGGGATGAGATTGCAGGGGGGCAAAGTGGGAAAATGGCGCCCACTTTAGTTACTTTCAAAACTTACAGGTTTGTTGTATCTTTCCTACCATCTTTCGTGCATGAAATAAGTTAGGAAATCTATGAGAACAGAGGTTAAGTTATCATGGACTCGTATATCATCTTCAAATCGATAGAAATTCTATTACATGACCAGGAATTGAAGAAAGCAAGCAAAATTGACTTGAGAAGTCAACATATGTTCTCGCTTTCGGCGCCCCTTTAAAGAGAACTTTCGCTTTGGCACCCCTCGTCTTTGATCGGCATGGGAGATAATAACCCCCCTGCCAGCATACCACTGGCTTCCTGTCCTATTTATAAATGAAAATCATCCAAGCTTGTATGGATAATTCAACGCCAAGTCATTTTTAATTACACGGAGTCGGAGCTTTATAAAAAATATAGACCCATCTTTCAAGAAATATAAAGCAAAAATATAACGACAAGTTATACGGCTTTTCACTTCCAACTTTAAAAGGATAAACAATATATTAAAATGGCCATCATGGCAGGGATTACAATTTTTGTCATGGATCTTAACATGAAGAGGCAGAGTGCTGCAAACATACCTCTCTTTGTGAAAGATCAAACTCAAAAACAAGAAGCCTACAAAGATTTATGAAATATTTTTATGGTTTCAAGGAAATGGTTGAATGATTTTCAAATACTATAGCGTTAAGCAAATGTGATTAAAACAATGGCTTACTTTTGAAGCTCTGTGGTGACAACTTTGTTCAATCGAGGAGGTTTTGTTGCACCCATCTCGACTTTATGGAGATCGTGAGTCAATCCATTTCTTATGTATGATTCTAGAGCCTCCTCAAAGTTAGCATCAGCCCTAAAAGAGTTTGGCAAAATAGTTATGGTAAAGAATATTAGTTCAAAAGAATTAGAATTATTAACAACATCGTTAACAATAGGCGCAAATGATAATAACAATATTTTTAAATCAGATAAGATTTTTAGAGGTCTTTTGGGAAAGTTCAATTAGTTGGTACTTAAAGATTTAAAGCATTGGTGAGGTTGCAGTAGTCATAATTCACAAATTGTTTGAGTCAGAATTAGTGACTAGAACTGATAAGATCTGACCCTTATTAATTTCATATATAAATCATTTACACTATCATTTTGTATATATTGGTAAAAACATTGGTGAAACGACTAAGAGATTGAAAAGCCACAAAATCGAAAGGATTATTAGGTTGCTAAATACTATGACTTTCCACCAAGACAGACCTTTACAAATCAAATATTAAATAAATTTAGAAAATAAATACATTCAACAAACAAAACGCATTTGATGTCTGGCTAAGATATGTGGAAGTGAGAAGAGTTTGACTTTAGGAGAATACAATTGCAAGGCACAACATTACAGACCCACAATGTGTTAGTTATAAACTTATAAAGTTCAGCAATTTCTTGCTGCATTGTAGCTGAATAGTGTCAAAACCATGAATTTTAGAAAGCAAACACTTACGATTTTCCTTTCAAGATGTCCATTTGTTGTAGAAAGAATTTGGTCACATTTGATTCACTGCTTTGATCGTCTGAAACATCTCCATCATCCTCATCATCTTAAAAGGGGAACATTCCAGTAAAAGAGACAAATTGGATGTCTTTGAAATATCAAAGTATAACAGAAGGTAGGAAAGTCATTTGATTCAGTGAAATAAGTATCTAGACATGTCTTGCTAGACAGTTTTTAACTTTATGTTTTTCAAGAACTGAGCAAATGGATTACAATGGATCCTGGTTGACACAATGAACCAAGAGCAAATTTTGGAAATTTTATGGAGAAATATCAGGTTGCTCATATGGTCATATTTTGGCCAATTTGTAACAAGTTTAACTTTTTTCCCACATCGAGAATAATTTCACAACATCTGTGATAATAATTTCACAACAACCCTTGAAAAACTTATCTCTTTTTAAAAACGTCTACAAACAAACCTGTGTCGTGAGAGCTTTGATCACTTTCAAGTGAAGCTCCTTCTTCTGATACCGCTAACGTCAACGGTAATGGGAGCTGGTCTCTTTTTATTTCATAATATGATATTAAATGTTCAATCGATTCAAAAAGTTGCTGTTGGACATCTTTAGCAGTCTGTAATGAAATCATGAAACCATGTGAAGATAAAGTTTTGTTTTTAGACTACATTTGGCAAGCTTGTTATAACATGTGATAGTTGATAGCAACAAGAAAATAATTGTATTCATTTATCTGTTGTCTTCTCTATTTACAAGCAATCATGTCAAGTTAGTGTTTCTTTAATACAGCATGTGGAACTATTGGATTATGAATTATTTGAATATTTGCGAATAAATCCGATAGTGAATAAATCCGAATTTACAACTAAGGGAAAAATTAGATATACCTCTAGAGACCACTTTCCATCTTCACTCTTGACAATCTTGTAATGAAGAACACCATTTTCAGTTCTTAAAAACAATTATTGTTATTATCATTATTATCAGCAAAAAACAAATGCTACAAAATGATATCAAACATCATTTAAAATTTCAATAAAGTATCTCTAGTGCAAAAATATGAATAAGAAAAAGGTGAAACTGGCAAAATTTTCAAAGAAGGAAAATTTGATAAAATATCACCATAATACTCTTTCTGCCCCTGTAGTATATTTCAATGATACAACATGATAATTGAACTTAACCTAGTATTTGTGCAAGGACAGCATCATTGGAAAAATATGCTGTTTCTCTACTTCACTACAAGCCAGTGCCAAAAAGGTGAATGGGGGTGTCTAACAAAGGTCTATGGGGTTGTAGCTTGAGGACGCAGAAGAGGTTTCGATTAGCTTACCAACAGACAAAAACCCAAGACTAACAATATTTTTTATATGACTTATAACTAAATGGGAATAACTTTGATAAGAGTGGGCAAGGACCATAATTTTTATTTGAGAAATACAAAAAGATAGTGTCTCTCTTTTTGGCCATAGAATGTCCCTTAATAGTGAAATCTGTTGTACATATGGCAGAGGATAACAATTTCCAAAAATCCTGTATCTGCTTTTTTTATATAAGTGCAATTCAATCAAGAACTCACAAGCATATTGCATTTTGTAAATGAAATGTTAAAATCAGTAGTTTTGTACTTAAAGGAAATTTTCACCAACTGAAATAAAAAATGTGACTGTTTTGGTCTTTTATGGCCTGACTACTCACTTGCAGTACCCCCAGTGGTGTTCCTATGGGGGGGCAGGGGGCATTATTGTTAAACAGATCAAACTTAGTGGAGAAACACCCAAAGTTATCTTTAGTTAAATAACGAAGGGTACCACACCTCTAGGGGCCCCCAGCAACAATTTTTCTTTGTTATTTTTCCTAAGGGGTGCAGCTGCCCGTTATGCAACTTTAAAACTATTTGGCATAATGATAACAGCCCTGATAGAGCTGTACCAAGGACATACTATCTAGGTGCACTAAAATTTGGTGCCTTGTACCTAACAGGTTCAAAACTCTTTTTTGCAGCCTTTTGACTTTGTTGGGAAGCATCTACCTTGTTCGACACAGGCCTAAGCATATCCAGAAGTTGCAATGACTTTGATAAAATTGTAAGGACTGTTGCACAGTTGATATGGCTTAAAACTATGAATGGTGATATGTTGCTGAGATCAACTGTCTTTCGACTGTCATGTAGGAAGACACCATTTCTAATGTTTTACACAAAAACATGTTTCCTTCCAAAACTCTGGATAGGCAAAGAGGAGCAACAGCTGGTAGTTGAGTGGGTAATGTCCTCCCCCGTGCACACCCTTGGCTTTGTGCCTGCTTTTAGATAACCAAATTCTTGCCTTAAATTCTAAAAAAAGCTATATTTTACAAAAAAGTTAACACTTACCGAAAAGGCTACCTTAATTTCCCTAGCAGATCAATAACATTGGCTTTGCAGTTTTGCATTAACCAGTTTGCAGAGTATGGCTGATATTCACTTAATCTTTGGTAAAACAAAAATGTGCAGACCTGCTATGTGCACCAGCATTATCATTTTTTCCAGATTAAAATTTAATCATCTAGTTATCTGTATCCTGTATCCTAGTTATCTTTATAGCTTTTAGCTGTATTCTAATTATCTTGGGTGCATCATTACCATGTTGTGCAAAGTAGTGTATTAGCGGCTTCATTTTATCCCATCAATGTAAGATTTTGTTCTAAATTTTCATCTCATCATTCAGCTACACCGTTCTTGCAAGTTACCCTTTAGAAAATGTTCTTGCAATTGGACATTAACCAACAATACAAAATAATGCAATACTCCAACTTTATAAACAAGCTACTCGTAGAGTTGTGCAGAGGCATAAAAAATGTTTCTATAGAAGAAGTGCATCAGTTCTTGTGATTCATGACAACAGAGCTCAAAGAGGAGACCTGAAATTGGCCTTTTAGTAGTGCATACTTACAAGAAGGACAACACTTTTGTGTTTGTAAGTGATTCACTTTCCCTGACAAGATACGCTCCTTTAACACCAGTTTTTGTAAGCAACTGTTCTGTTTCCGTTCGACGTATGTGTTTATGATACCAAGGCGGTCTCATAATTTGCGCCATTTTCAAACAGCAGCATTTGCAATTGCACCTTTGACTAGCTGAGGCCTAAGTCCCGGCTCTTTCTTTGCCTCTGTCTCCAGCCTCCATTAAAGCTCAGGTGAGTGTATTCAAGTTAACAGGGACAACATGCGAGTTACTTTTAAAATGAACACACAAAAACTTTCCATGTAACTAGAGCCACAGAGAAGTTTCTATTCAAATTTCCGATCTTAATTCGACAATGGTATCTGTTGATTAGAATTAACTTCCGCATCAATTCTCCTTCCTAGCGCCAAGCAAATTGTGCTTCCGGGGATCTCAACTTTTGGCAGTTCTCGTCGTTTAAGTTCCATTATCGCATAATCATAGAATAAGAGTAGAATGGAATAGGTAACTCTTTCTCTATCCTAGGTTATAATGCAAAGAGTATAAGACTTCAGTCAAATTTTAATTTAAATATTTCTCGAAATATTTCAACTGAATCTTGGACGCAAGTTTCAAAAAGTTATTCTATAGAAACACATAAGAAACTGTAGCAAGATGGCTCGCCAGTCACCATCATTATTTTCAATGTTTACTTGCTGGAATCTAGACTGCTGCAGCATATTCTAGGTGAACCTTTATCACACCTCAAACAAGAACTTTGAAATAATAAAATTATCTTGAATGTCCTTCTATCACACCTAGAATATGTTAGATCTAGAATGTTCTTTCATTGAGGAAAAACCTCCTATTTAATGTGATTCTTGTTTCTTAAATATTAAATTACCATATAAATTAAATATTAAATATTACTATCCACATTGGTGCCTTATGGCCAAGAATTTACCATTGTCTGTTTTTTTATCTGATTAAAATCTTTGGATTTTAGCAACATACCAATCAATGCTATCAGCAGGTATTGATATAACTTTACAATCTAGACAAAGCCTTTTCAATGAATCGCTCATTATACTTGATCAATTCGGATGCTTTTCTGGGCCATTAATAGTAGAAAATTGGTAAAAAAGAAGCAATGAAAACTGAGCCAGGGATTTATTTCAAAATTTAGCAGAAGAGAATACCATTCAGTGAGTCAAGATACCATAAACAATCTAAGCACAGATTAATGCAAGTGCTATACAATACCAGTTAATTACATCTAGAGCAATATTGTTATCAAGCAAACATACAACTTATCTATAATGAAACATAAGATCATGCTATGTCATAAAATTATATATCATACTACCAAGAATGGAAGTAGTGCCCTGAAATGATGCTTTTGTTAAGAAGGACCTCTTACATAAATTCTAATAGGAAAGATCCCAAATTTATGTTTTAAAAAGTTCCAGGCAGATTACATTTTCTAGGATATGAAAACAGATGTCATTCATTGATTTGGTAAATTGCCAAATCATCAATTTAACCTTAGCAATACCAAAGCAGACTTTTAAGAATTTTAGTTGGAAATTTGATCAATGAAGCCTTTTTGGCTCTATAAGATTATCTTGAAAAGAATTAAAATCAAGCACTACAGATTTCATGTTTATTGCAAATAAGTAGGAGTAAAGGCTAAATTACTAATGCAAACATTGGATATTATCCACCAAAATCCATGCTTCCATGTGCCAAAACATAATGTAACCAGGCAAAATTTCTTTAGTCTTTTACTTTCCAGGTGGCACAACTGTGACTGGTACATGTGCATGACGAAGGACATAATCACTAACACTCCCTGTGAAAGTACGTCTGAGAGCATTCAATCCTCTTGAGCCCATGACAATGAAACTCACATGCTCCCTGTCAGCAACTTCACATATAGTTTCCCCAGGTGAACCAGCAATCAAATGTGGTTTTTTTGAAATCTGAAATAGCAAAGAATACTTTTATGAGTGTACACATATATATATACTCTGTACTCATAAATTTAGTTAACAAGTTGCTCTTCACTGAAAATGGAGCTGATACAATTTTCAAAGAGCATTCCATTACCAGAAGTTCTTCCTTGACATGCTCAAGAAAAAATGATCTAAGAACCTAAAGCTGAGAGACTATTTCTGACACTACTCAACTGTCATTACCAATTAAGCCAAAGCTTATTCTTGGTAGAGACTCGGCTTGAAGTAAACAGAATAAGATTTTAGTAACCTTTTTACTTTCACAGAGAGCCTCAAACTGTCCTACAATTTTTTGACTTTCTATCACTTGCTTTTGCAGTTTAGATTGCCACTCTTGGACAGGAAAACTCATTGGAGCTGCAAAAAAAGAGAAAACAAGTTTAGATATTTAGGACGAAAGCTGGAACAGCAAAATGGCTGGTTTTAAGCTTCATCTCTCAAGTTTAATGCCTGTTATCTTAATAACTGTTTGAAAGTGTGCATTTAACATGAGAGATTCATAGCTTGGTGTATTATACCAAGCTGTAAAAAGCCATAGACAATATTTTCCATCACATAAACAGTCAAAACAATTACTCTAGTGTCCAGAATAGATGGGATGGGTGATCAATTTTCCAAATAATAATTAATGGGGTCAATGGGTCACAGTCCCTTTCAATTGGAAACAGAAGGGAAATGTACACAATGCTGGTTTCTAAAAACAGAATATACATCAAATTAATTTGCTTAACATAAAATTATAAGAAAAATTATGTTCTAAATATTTTTAATTCTTTCTTTTTGTTCTCCATGAGCTTTTTTTTGCAACAACAAACTTTGTTGCAGTTCCTCAATACACATAAGTTTATAATGATAAAAGCAGGCTCTGTCATAAGAATATCATGGGTGGATTTCTTTTGAAAACAAACAAGGGGAGAGTACACAAACAATAAATGTTTATCAATATTAAAACAGTATCTTTGATTCATATAAAAACAAATGATTTATTACTTTATAACAAAATGGTTAAAGAGTCTTCTCTTTTTTGAAGGATAGGGGAGTGTAGCCATTATTGAGTACACCTAAAAATTGAAAGAATGGGGGCTTAACTGTAATGAAGATTAGGGGCCAAACTGTAACAAATTTTGCTCTCAATAACTTGAAAGTTGGGCACATAATGGGACTGAAAACTGAATCAACAGAAATAGCAAAGTAGGTGTTTGCTAGTGTTTATTTGGATTCTACTATTTTAAATCTTGTGTGTTCAAGGGCTGATTTATCCCTACAGACAACAAAGCCACTCAAGATAATGTCTGAAATGTTGACCAATAAGAGCAGGATTGCAGCTTGTTCAAAGAACTTGGTATGTCAATAAACTGATCTCTTAGATACTAAATGGGTTTTATATAAATTCTTTTCCCAGTGATAAATTTTCCACTTGTTTCCAGCAATATGCAATCTGGATGACACTACCTGTTAGCAACTTGATTAGCTTTTGTAAAGATTTTGAAAAGTTAGATGAAATCTTGAATGCTATCCTACGGCCTACTAAAATTCAATGAAAGAGCATACTGAGATTTACAAAATAAGGTCATTGCAAACTGCACATTAAATATATATATGTGCATAAAAGAATATCTTTGCTAGCCAAAGAAAAAATAAAAATGAACTAGCAGTGAATGTCTAGAAACATTGACTTACATTCCAAGGACAAGGCAGGAAGATGTGGTGTTGTTGTCACATAAAGAATGTTTACCAAATCTCCTTCTCTATATATGTGGTCCAGAAAGACTGGAAATTCAAAATAAGACAGTGAGTTAGCAAACACTTTAAGACTTGAATTGACAGCAGGAAAAAATTAAGTTTTGAGAACTGAGCTCATTGTAAAGATGACTACAGCAAAAAAGGATAAAACTATATATAAAGCAGCACTTAAATTATGTAAATGCCCAGTTAAGGGTTATAATCTTCACAAAATTTGATTTCTATAGAGATTTTTCTAATTCAGGTCTTCAATTCAATTCAATTTCATGTTTGTTTGCAGCTAGTACAACTATATAAAACACTATTATTGAAAAGCTCACAACATTATCCATCTTAGTGAGGATGAAAAAAACTTTGGAACTCTTTGTCTTTTTAACTCCCAATTGTTGATAACAGCCAAAAATAATTAAAAGCAACTTCAATTTCTGTCAAAAGTTACTCAAACACCCCTGAGCATCCCATGGGATTTGGAAATATATATATAACGTTAAATTCGGAAAATTAGCAGTTTTAGGTAGTAAAATACAAAAAGTTGTAACACCCCCCCCCCCCCCTCCCCATTCAAAAAAGTAATGTTGGTTGAAAAGCCAATAATTAAAGTTCCCTAGTGAATTAGTTCCGAAACTGTTGCTAGACAACATTGCATTCAGGTCAAAGGGGATGCTAATAGAAATACGCCAAACTTTAGCGTTGATTGCACGATTTTTGACATGCTCTGATATCAAACTGATTTTTGGTTATAGCGTGATTTCGATTACTTGCAATTATCCCCATGCCGCAGCAAGGTGCAACTTCGACATTACAGATGTCCTGATCAGTTCAATACACCTGGTACTTAATTTATGAAGTCAATTCAATAGAGAAGAATTAGTATTTTGAATCTCCAGCATATTTAAGGGCTATAACTGATTTGATAACTAAAAGTATGTCTTACAAAATTCGGCTGAACCCTTCTTGCGAATTATCGGAATCAACAAAAAGAGGAAGCCCTGTTCTTCTCTACAAAGATGTCAGCTGCAGTTAGGCCATGCCGCGTGAAAATATTTTTCGCATCGTGCAGCGTGTCATTCACTAAATTAATACCGATCGGTCATTTTAGAATGAAGAAAATTCTTAAAGATTTTCTTAAACAATCACAGAAGATTGACAGAGGCCACAGTAAGTTTTAACGATATCTAAGCATAACGAAAAACCGACAGCTTACGGCAGGCCAGTTGACGTTATCCACTACAGGCCGATCAAGTCAACGATGCGCTAAGAGCTTTGCGAAAAAAATCAACAAAATCTTACGTTTCGTCTACTTACAGTTAAAAGCTCTTTCTGAGTTGTCGCTACCGTCAACTGCAACTAACACTTTGCGAGCCATGACAGTAAATCAAAACTTTATTGCGTTCTACGACCACACTCCCTCTTCTTCGATCACCTTGGATAAGGAAGGAGTGACCTTTACAGGGCATCAAAGCATAATGGACGCCCTCGTTTGTCCTCTTGTCGGTATCGAAATCACAGACCAGCTCCGCGGAACGGTAAGAACAGTTGCCGGTGAAATATGCGTTTTGGTACCCTATGCAAAAGTGTAACATTGTGAAACTCAATGTGTTTCAGATAGTGTGATTTCATCATTGTGCGATGTTTGATTGACACGTTTTTAAGAGTTAAATATTTCACACTTGTCAATTACGCAAACTTTGGAGTCGCCATTAATGTTGCATTTTCTTTGCATAAACTTAACAACGGAAATCACAGCACCGTTTAGCACCACTTCTTATTAGTACCCCCTTTATAAAAATAGTTCAATTGTTCTTTACATTCTGAACAATATGAACCAGAACATTTGTGTACCCGAACCAGTTCGCATGCTTAATTCCACTATTCGTTTTGGTACCCTATTGTTTAAATCATAGTTTAAATGCTTTGGTACGTATCTTCCAGCCATACCTCCCGAGACGTATCTCCAAGCCATTGGCGTAGCGAGGGGGAAGCAAGAGCGGACCCTCCCACCCTCCCCCTCATCTAATAATAAAACATCTTTGAAAAAGAGCATTTGCCCTCCAATCTTGACACCCTGGCTACGCTACTGCTCCCAGCTCCCCGTATCAGACCTCTAGCCCAGTAGATCATTGCATAAAAAAACGGTTAAAAAATTCGGATGTTGCATGAAAAATCTTTGCAAACTTTACCGAAATTCATCTTTCTGTAGAAAAGAAAATTATCCACGTTTCGTGTCAGCCATTCTTATGAGCAGCCTCAGCCACATACAGGGATGGATTTAAGCAACAATGATTGGGGGGGTTAGACACTAATTAAATCTTGTTGCCACACCCTTCATGTCACTGGAAAATGATAGAAAAAGCCTATTTTCAAAATTCTGTTTTAACTTTAAGGTAGAGAAGGTAAGAAGATAAATAAAGAAACTTCTTTGACTAACGATGATTTTCAGTGAATGAAGCAAAATTTACCGAAGGACACAGAAACATTGGGGGTGTCGCACCCTCTACACCCCCGATAAATCCGCCCCTGGCCACATGCCCAAGTTCTCTCATGTAACACGGGGTAGCGTCATGAATGGGGAAAATCTTCAGCCACATATGAAAGAGCAAAATATTTCCATTCAATTAACCTCTCGTGATATCCTCAAAATCGTGATGTTTCAACAGACCCTTTTACGTCATGCGCATGCCAGTGGCCTAGCATGCAAGTCTTAATTGGAGATGTGACAACCAGATGCCCTACTTCTGTGTAGCAGCTGGAACCATCTGGTTTGCAAGTTACAATTAACAACCTGATTTTGAAAAAATGTAGCTTTTCAACCGAAATGTTGACGACGAATTCAAAATCCTTTGAGAATCAATGTGTACATTGGGGCAACTTTTTCAATTTCAGCCAGTGCTGTAGAATCTTTGAACTAATATACCATCTCATTATATCTTTTGCTATGTTTTTTTTCTATTGCTACCAACAAAACATCAACAAGAGATCAAAATATCGTTCTACCCAATGTTCAACTATCTTCTCTAGAGTCTACTTATCGAAGCCAGCCATGTTATCTTTCTAGCAACCTTTTTTTTTAAAATGAGCGGGTATATTTCTGATAATTAGAATCGCAAGAAACTATTAGAAAGGGTTGGATGGAAATTTCAAAAAGAATTCTCCGCCAGTCAACAGTAACTCTTTAATCTAGTATCTCTGTACAAAAGTGTATTTTTCGGGGTTATCACGTGACGCATGCGTTTCAATCAGAGCACACTTGCGAGTTGCGAAGAGAAAAGTAGGCAGAAGGGCGGAGCGCTGTCAAATCTTACTAAAACTACAAAAATGGGCCGAAAAGTTTTGATTCCATTCGACAGAAGTGACCATAGCATGAAAGCATTTGACTGTAAGTATATCAGCATTTTTCTCATCTTTCGTTTGGATTTAGCCATTGACCCATCGGCATATCCTCAACGAGTTAGAGGCCAAAAAATGTGGCCTAAGCCCCTTTCCAAAGGCACGCCAACAGAGATACCTGTTTTTGTCTTCTAGTTATGATTCTTATTCTTTTATTTGATAAAATGTCGATCTTTCGAATTTATCCGGTTAAATAGTGGTTGAAATGTTATATGAAGGCGATTCGTGGAGAAATATGAGCTTGTGGTAAGATGTATGGTTGACCTGTGTCGCTTAGTGACTCTCCTGCCCATGCCAAAAGACACGATTTCGTTCACGTATGACCCGCGAAAATTTAATCCCTTCAAGCTATTGAATATTTTCTAAGTTCAGATTCATTTCAGTTCAGTTCAGTTCAGATTTGCTGTGTTTTTTAGGGAGAATTTTCTTGAAAAAAAATCGAAATATAAAATTGCTGGATATCGTTTTAATAATCTTTCGAGAGTTTTCAAGTGTCGGATTTCGGTTAATATAAGTTCTTCACGAAGACTGTTTGCAGCCATACGTAACCAAAAATATGTTTTCTAGATCAGCTAGAAAAAGGGACTGTGTAAGATGGTTGATTGGGGTGGGTAGGGGGTGCAGCAGCTTATATCCGTCGAGATGTCGCATTTAGAGGCAGATCGTCACATGTTTGACCCATTGGGCTAAACAAGGATTATGTCCGTTATATTTCAGTTAATGCGTTATTTTCCACAGATAGCGGACTCAAACAAATCAGTGAAAAGGGCCCCCAGATATTTTCAGAATGGTCTTTAAGTAAAATAATTTCTAACTGTAACCAAAATCAATATTTGCTAATGGGGAGCAAGAAGAAGAAATTGATTTTAAAGCTAATTCAGATGCAAGGGATTCATAATTTGGAAGCCAAAATTAATAATATTATGTACTCAGTCAATACGTAGATGAAATTAATTATAGCCTTGTAGCAAGAAGATGATCAATTTTCAATTGATGACATATCCCTAGAAGTGAGTCAGTGGCGTATGTTAAAGGCTTATCAAAAACACCCTATAGGTAGTTGTTCATCAGAACCCCAGATTGTTCTTTTTAACTTTCATAAAAAATGCTAGACCCTTTTAAATTTCATGTCAATGGTATTTTACTTATGAGCCGGCTGTGGAGCCTTTTCCCTTTGCATATATACAATTGTGTCCTGCAAACAAAAAACCAAAATTTGTTACAAATAGCATGTGCATGTTTCCACTATCTAGCATTAACAATCTGGTAATACAGCTGTTAGTTGGAAATTGTTATTGAAAAAAATTGGCAAAATTGCTAAGACTTTCTCCTTAACAATAACCAGCTGGATTATTTACTGACTGGTGGAAGCAACATATGTTAGCATTATGTTAGCAAAGATTTTTGTTTTTGTTTTTTCCAGTCTACCTTGAAAACCTGTACAAGGAAGAAGATAATATTCTGTTTGTTCATGTGGTCCATGCATCACATTCACGTGAGTTTCAATGATTTTTCACTAACTGTGGCTTGAAGTTCTTTCATTTGAGTCTAAACAGTATCTGTGCAAGAGGTTATGGAAAAATCTCATAAACAGAAGCATATAATTCTCTGACAATGCTTGATAGCACTGTAAGCGATGGTGATATGCACATTGAGGACTTTGGTTAAGAAATCTACCAAAGTGATCACCTAGCAACAAAAAAGGAGGTGGTGTCTGCTTGTATTTTTGTGGAAGCTTGGCTATGAAGAGAAGAAATGATCTTTAAACCCCTCAAAGAAACTGTTTTTTCTAAAATAGATATTTCTCGTAAAAATACTTTTTGTTACTATTTATTGCAATCCAAGGCAGTAGCATAGAGTTTGAAAATGTCATGACAATTTAGTAGTTTGCACAGGATTACGCTATTGCAGATGGTTGTCAACAGGTACAAAAGTTATGGCATCATTTGATTATATTGACAGACAGTTTGAATTACAGGTCCATGCAGGGCTTGATGAACTCATTTAAACTAGAGATCTCAACAATGTTAAAGACAGATTTTTCATGGAAAAGTAAATATTTCAGTTCCATGTCCACCACTGTATAAACACACTATTTGGGAAAGGTCCAAAGCTTGTTCTTTAAGATTAAAACAGAAAAAGCAAATGTTGATGGGGAACAAAAATTCCAAGGCCTCTGTGTAAACAAAATGATAAATCTCTTCACTATCAAGTTACATTGGATATTGTCTTAATGCATTCCTAATAAAGCCATTAAAATTAAGGATAAGATTCTCCCTGGCTGTATTCTCAAATAGAAAGTTTGCAAGTCAATATTGTGTTAATTGCTTATAATTTATTTAATCATAAAACACCCACAGAATTTAGGTTCATATCCCCATATTTTGACAAATGGGGATTGGACTCAAGGGACTGAAACCCCATGTTGAAATAAGAAGCAAAATCCTCTTGAGGTGCAAATTCACAAAGTATTTCCAACAAAGAAAACTAACTCTTATTGTTTAAAATGCTGTGCCCAAAAACTCTAGTCAGAAAATTTCATAGTGACCATAATTTGGAACAGTTGTTTAAATATTTATTTACTGCACAGCAAGTAGTGATTATGTTGCAAATTTCTATTTGCAAATGCAAATTATATTGCTTTAGTAGTTTGCACAGGATCACGCTATTGCACAATCAGCCTAAGTTTTGATATAAATCATAAGTATAAATATGATTCATAGGATAAAAGTTTGACCAGAGAATATGAAACAAGGAAAAGAGGAACAGCTTCCACCTAGTTCAAACAAGTTGAAAGGTTGTGGTGTCAAAAAACCTCTGCCATCATCCAGATGTGGATTAGCTATCACTGTGAAGCCTAGAAAGCTGGAAAAAGTGTTATTTGACTGATCTCATTCCAGTGTTCTCTCTAGTATGACAGGGTTTCTTTCTGTTGTAACACTTTCTGGTAAAACTTTCTTGTTGTGGTAATACCGTCATTGTCAGGGCAAGCATAGCTTTGTAGACCCAAAGTGCCAACTTGGCTGATGGTGGTATTTTACAAACATTGTAAATGTTCCAATGTTTCTGATCAAATAAGATTGGGTCACAAAAGTATGGACACGATGCTTAAAATGGTGGCTCACAGAAGCCAAGGGCCTAAGTCAATAAGTTTTACCCAATCTTCAGGGTTTCAAGAGCCTACTGTAGAAAAATATTTGCACAGTTTCAATGGCTTTTAAGTGAAAAGAAATTTGGAAAATTATTTTACTGTTTTGAAGAAAAAACTTTTAATGGGGGCTTCAGAATATGTCTATCAAAGCATTCATAAAATTGTGATAAAATTTAAACAATTTTTTTAGAAGCATAACCAATTATGTTATGAAATTTAATTTGAATAAGTGCACCATTGCACCCTCAAAAATATTACTGAAAATGTCCTTTAAGCTGAAATTTCAGGCTGAATAAAGTTATTGATAATGATTTCAGGCAAACATTTTCTAAAGCTGTGGTTTTATGATCAAAAGAGCTGATCAAAAGAAATGAGTAAAGAGAAGTATCTAAACTTTTGATCTAGATACTTCTCTTTAGCAATTTCAAAGGCACAACAAAGATAGAAGGTTTCCGTTTAATTTTTTGGTCATCCTGTGCAAAAAGCAAATAAGAACTTAAAAAACTGTCTTATAAACAAATGTAGATTGACTGACCTTGTGTTGACATCTAATCTTTTAAGTCAAAAATTACTGCCAACATAATCTTCTCATGAAATATTTTATAATCAAAAAGCTATAAGCGTTTCACTTCAAATTCAAATAAATCTTCTTTATTCTTCTACCAAAAGCAACCTTTTTTATCATCTTTTATAAATCCTTAGAAAATCTTTTACAAGATTATTTTGAAACAGTGCTTCATATTTTCACTGATTTGTTCCCTCAAAACAGCAAACAAATTATTAAATTTTCTTCTAACAAAAATTTCGTAGAATTGCAATTATGTAGTATTTTCTCGCCATGAACTATTGTTTTTGAAACTGGTTGGCCAAGGCCTGTGACCAGTGTGAGCCAGCCTAAGGGGGGGGGGGTAAACTAAGCCCAATTTTGGACAGGGATGTATCATTTGCCCCAAACATGATGAAAACTTTGCCCATAATTCCGCAAAGCAAATTACATTTTTAAAGTACAACAAAATCATGAAACAAATTTTGCATGTCCTTTGCCCCAAAATCTCAATATTACACATATATCATACTTTTATTTCTAACTGGACATTCATTTTGTTAATGCTAAATCTCCCTCCTAATAATTTTGCAATATTTTGCCAAAACGGTACCCATAATTCTGCATATTTCTTAAACCTGTACCCATAGTTCTGCACATATTTCAAAAACTGATACCGATGATTCCGCACTTTTTCAAACAAGTCTTTGATACTGCAAGTTGGAAGTATAAGATAATACAACATGGGCTCTGACACAGGTTGGAAAGTGGGGAACAAAGGAGAGTTTAACACCCATATCAAAATATTAAACACTAGAAAATTTTGCTCGCAAATGTAATCTTGATGCTATTAAAATAATATGCATAGTAAAGTTTGGCATGGAACTGTCTGGCGTTTATTATATAAGCTGTACGTAACAGTTCCATGTTGCACCCACCATGGACCTCTCTATCTCTCCGCAAATGGCTGAGTATTCTCTTGCTGTGTTGAGCCAAGTGTAAAGTTGGTTGTAGAAGGTTGTTTCATCCAAAATTAATCTGAATTCGCTTGGTTTGGCGCACAATTTTTAAAAAGTTCCAAGGGTATGATCAAGTTTTGTAATTTTTGTCATTTTTGTAGAGCCGGTTGGAGAGGAAATAGATGCTGAAAATGTGAAGGAGAAATTAATCAAGACAATGGAAGATGCCAAAACTACTTACCAGCGTTTTGAAGACAAGTGCACCACAAAAAATGTATAAATGTCAATTTTTTATTGAAAGTTCATGCTTGGCTTTTGATAAACCTGTAAGATTGCAATTTTTTGGGGTCATTCTATGTCAAGTCAGCAAACAAACAGCAATTTGACACCTACTATTTTATCATTGACTAATTTCCTATGTGAAAGTGCCTCACTATATTACCATATTGCAACCTTGGAGCTCTTAATCAGTACCAATAGGCAATTGTCTTGCCTCTGACACCGTGAAGTTTTAGGTCGTTAATTTAATTCTTATTGCACCCTCATTTGCCTCCGCCAGAACATCTTAAGGACATTCATGGTGCTTTCGAAGGAAGGATTAACAAATGAAGGGGCTAGAAGTTATCCTTGCCGAATTTCATCCTTTGCTAGAATCCCATTATTGTTTTTTAACATTATTGATCTTTCTTGTCTTATTTAATAGCCATTAAAGGAACATTAACCATTAACCGTTTCGCGTTTGTGTGTTTCATAAAATATTTTTTGGTGTGTTGTATAATAGTGCCATAAGCCTATTTTATGTCGGTAGTGGTCAAATACAAGCGCAGGATCAAGTGGCTAGGCCGATTTTTTATCCTAATAACAGCTTGATGCTGTAGACTTCATAGTAGACGTTGTTGAATGTTGGAAAGTTTTCCTTTAACATACCTTCTCTTATAGATCCCCCATGAGAAGATATTTCACTCTGGCAATGCAGGCGCCGTCATTTGCGATGTGGCCAAGGAGAAGCACGCCGATCTGATCGTCATGGGGTCACGTGGTCTTAATGCAATCCGACGTACATTCTTAGGAAGTGTCAGTGAATATGTTTTGCACCATATCCATATCCCAACGACCGTTGTGCCAAGCAACAAACACTGACCAAGGAACAATGCGCATGACTGTTTACCTTCATTAAGCTTTTCACCTAAACACCATACCTACAAATTTCAATTGGATAATCATTAATACTATTTTTATTATTTAAAATATCACATTGCATGATACCCATCATTGTTTTGGTAGCAATTGTGGAGATAACTATCATAGCCAATGCTGTAAGGTAATGCAACTCTTGTAACGCATTATGTGTAATCAGTAAGAATTATGTCCAAGCATGAATTCGTTTATCAGTTAGAATGTTTTTGGGACGCTTGTTATCTTGTTTCCATTAATCTGTTGGTATATCAAGATATGATGAGAAAGTCGGGCCTTAAAATGACATTTAAGGTGCATGAGTTTGGCACGAACAAATTTGTAAAGAGCTGCTTCTGAGATGCTGACTTGGCTGCAAATAGGCTGAGTTTTCCAAAGAAGGAAATGAAAATTTGTAGGAAAATAGAAGGAAATTTTTCGGAATCGTAGTAGATTGGGCGATGATTCCATTAAAATGGCATTAATGGCATCACACATGCCGGAAAAAAAATTTCTTGGAAATTTGCATTTTGGAAACATCAATTTTCTGACTTAACATCTAAAATGTAGTATTCCTACTGGAAATGCTGCCGTTTTCAGAAGCGTTGTAGATTTGGTAAGGTTTCCACTATAAAGGCAAGAATGGCATCAACGCATGCCAGAAATAAATGTTTCCTTGAATTTTTGCCTTAGAAACATTAATTTTCAGAGTCAGCACCAAAAATAACACAGGAATCCGTCGAGAAATCAATATTATCACAAAGGTTGCACAGGATGAAAATTCGACACACGACTAGTATTGAAAGTTGCTAGTTAACGCTGCTATCAAAGGTCAATGGGAACACCAGTTCTTTGCTGTGATTTCATAAAGATAATTGTTTATTCATTGCTTTAGAGTTTGCTTCAAAAGCTCAGATTTTAAAGTTAATTGCGTAGCAAAATGAGAATGGGGGCAGGGCAGCACCGCTTCGAAAAAGTTAGTGGGTTAAGGCAGCGGGGTGAAACAAAGCGAACCGTGCACGTTTGCCTGGTGGTGCAATAAGGTCTCAAAATCTAGTGAAATTTTCTAGAATCAGAAGAGCGTATGCCTTAAAGTCTCAGAGTTATCAGAGCAAATAAAAGAAGCTCTACGAAGGCATAGTCACTTTTTGCACTATGAAAATATATTCTATGAAAAGCTCTGAGCGTTCAGCAAACAATTTGTGATTAGTAAAAACTTGCTAACACTGCTTTCAAAGGTGTAAGGAACGTAGGCAGCCGAAGAAACAAATAAAAAGTTCCTAGATACACTGGCAAAAGGGTTGAAAGAACTGACAATGTTGCATATGAATAGCTTGCAAGATGGAATTCTAATTTTATTCTTGAATATTTCTAAAATTGATGAGTATTTTATTTTGTTAGGGATCTATATTAGGGATATAAACTTGTTCTATATTTGGCTGTATCTTAAATGTCGACACGTTATTTTAAGTTTTATTGACATATATAGGGAGTTTCTTAAGTTATCTTGACATTCATTCATGGAGTATTTCTCATCAATAAAAAGTTGATGAAAGGGATAACATTGTTACTTCATTTAAATGGATTAAATTGTAATTTCCCTATAAATCTTAGAAAGAAGCATGTATTGGAGTCTTTGTTTAGCGCGAGCTGACTCGTTTTCTTGTGCTAAACGAAAATAAAAATTCTTGTCCTCGATCATCTAAGCCTCATCTAAGCGTATTTTCCCCACTAAAAGTGGTCCTACTCAACTCCCAATTCGCTCTTTTGTATGGCATCTCAATCACAAACCACAGTTACCTGGAAATCATGCACCTACGAAAAGTTCAAAATATGCTAGTTTTTTATCATATTTAAAGGTTCATTTGAAATATTTGTTGGGGTGCATCCCCTTTTCTCTAACTATAGTCTCTGACTGCAAAGTTGCCCTGTTGAAAAGTTTGATGCATCAGTATAACAAATCTATGAATGTGTTGAAAAAAGCTGATGAAGGCGCTCATAGACCGTCGTCCAGCCAATTCAAATCCATATCTCTAGACCTGACTGATTCGAATTTCGCGAAATTATCCTTATTCCCCTGTTTCCTCTTTAGGGAGGTTAATTGTGTTGACTCATGAATGCGTTTCCCACATTTTTATGTCGTTCTGCAAAGAAAAAATGCAATTTTTTCCTGTGGTAGTAAGAAAATCCTTTCTTTTTCAATCAAACCGAAAAAAACTTTGTGTCAATATGAGAATTAACATCGTTAAAGGGGTCCAGGGCCTCCGGGTTGCGAGGGAAAATGCCCCCCCCCCAACAATTAATTCCCTAAGATTTGGTCTTGCAAATCAGCAACCGGTATTAAAAAGTGGTTTTCTATGAAAAAGAATCTTGGTTACGGTCAGGAACCAACATGTGCACATGTTATGCAACTTTTCAACCCTGCCTTTGCACCAACTGCTCAATGAACACATGTTCGCAACATAAAAACTCCAGAGCAAAAAACATTTAATCATTTTTGTCTATCATTAAGGTGATTTTTAGCCCCAACCATTAGGCACCTCGGTCAAATATGGTTTGTAAAATATGCACGGAAGATGCTCGACAGAAAAGAGCACCTAAGTACAGTCTTTTTTACTAGAACTGAACACTGAGGTCAGTGGCGTGGCTAATACGGGAGGGGGGGGTGTGACACCCCCAATTGTTCATGAATTGATCTGTAAATCTTCAGTTGACCCTCCATCAGGGGTGTAGTGCTTAGGGGGGTCAGGGGGGCTGAGCCCACCTTGTTAATGCCGAAAAAAAGACAATTTCTACTTTTGCTATTGTTTTTCGCAGCGTTTTGCGCAAGAGCCCTCCTTGTTAATTTGGTAGCATTTTACCCCTGCCCTCCACTCCCCTAGTCTGGAAGGTCAAGCCACGCCACTGACCGATGCTATATATGCCAGGAAGACTGGAACAGCGTAAGAACATGACCAGCGTCTGATGAAAACTGAGAAGAAAGGTCAAGGTGTTTTTGAATATTTCCTCCCGTGTTAACAAAACAGAGCAGATTTTATAAAGGGTGTAAACAGAGCAAATCAACCGAGCTATAAGCAATTGATAATATGTCGTTGTAGAAAAATCAATGTTGAAACGAAAGCCAAGTTAAGGTATCGAAAAAACTAAAATATCAAAAAAACATCGAGCCGCGGCAAAAATTATCTGATTTTTATATTAAGAACATTTTTCATTAAGAGTTTCTTGGTCACGTGTTTCTAAGACTATGTATAAACACAACGGTGGCCCTTTGCACGATGTAGACTAGTGCCAAATATTCGCCTGAAGATTTTGATGCTGATTGAGATTTCAAAAATAAGATTTTCTCTAAGTTCAATGGAAATGTGCTTTTCTTCACAGATTTTCCGGAAGGCATTCAAATGAGTGTGCTCGGATTAGCAAAGAAAATAGATCAGGTCACATGTTATCACCGTGTTTATATGCCATAGTAAAGATAGCATACTTCAAATCGACTGGTGTAGTTCAATGGCAATAAGCTGAATAAGCTTACGCACAAGTCATTACTTTCCCCGCCAATTTTTCATAGCTTTCTCAAAAGCGTCGGCGATTCATGGATTGTTAATAAAAGTTTTCTTAACTTGGCAAAGCAGATATGTGAAACATACAATGACTCCCAATCTTTGGTTGCCAATTTTCTTCAGGGATACATGCCACAGAAAATCCTTATAGATTAATGCAATTATAATGCATGTCAATGTTGAAAGTTCGGAACAGTAGTTACGCAGAAAGAAATGTCGATAGACCGAGTCCTATTACTCTTGAGTTTAAAAAAAAGCGGCGAAATATCTTATATTTTTAGATATGAAGTATTTTGTATATTAAGTCAAATGTTGCTTGAAGATTGCATAATGGTTGAGATTCGAATTTGCAACTTAGAATCATCCTGCTCAATTCCATATAGAAATGCGTATAAATAGCTTCTATATATAATTTATCTTACATTATGTAGTTTATTATAAATTCATCCTAACGAAGCCTACACGGTAACGTCGAGAATCTATATATAAATTATACAATCACAATCTTGTATCAATTTTCATGACTCTCTTTTATCTTAAAGAGCAAAGTATGTATCTTCAATATCTATATATTAGCATCAATTTATTATTCTACTTTGTTACTCATTCATTTTTATCAATTCATGTATCGTATTACCTTATCGTTGAATGTTCTTTCACATTTTGTTAGCCAATAACTTAATCATCGAACAGTGCTAGGAAATAATACCAAACTGTTTCATTTCATACAAAATTAGTAAGTATTTTACCAAAATAAGGAAATGTTTTGAAAGGCAAGGAAAACGAAACAAGACAGAGAATTAGGCACACCCTGAACTTTTCTGGGAACTCTATGTATGCTTCTTGAATTAGAAACATAAAATGCAAAGGTATCAGAATTGTGGTGTCAATATCAAGTATTCATAGGCATCCACTGAATGCATCCTTCTTCAAGAGCAGCCATCCCTAAGGCCGGTTTCATCAAGTTTCAGATATGCATTCACCATGTTTTAACGCTCTTTCTTGTTCTCTGGTGATTCCCAGACTTTACTTCCTTCGTAGAAATAAGAGCCATCGAAGAGGCCCTTTAAATTCAATTTTTGTAACTGATTTTGCGCTACACTCTTTTCAGTAAGAAAATTTTTATAAGAATACGAGCCTCAAAATTGGTCAAAAGTTAAGAACGAATTTGGAACAAGCTGAGGCTGGGCTACTGTAAAATGTAATCTTGAATATTGTTTCATAATACAAGTATCCTTTTTGACATTTATGGGTGCTTTTCGGTGATTTTCAAAATATTTATGAAAATAGTGGATGCCTCACACACTTTGTTGGCAAATGAGGCCACAACACTTCCCTTGAGTACACAAGCAAGCAATCGCACTGTTTGCACCCTTATAAATTAAAAACAAAATAAGAACAATCCAGCCTGAGATATTCGGTAAAATTAAGAACAGCCCCTGGGGCTCAGGTGGGGGGCTCAGGGGCGCAGCCCCCTGGTTAAAATTTTCAAGAAAAATGGGAGGCTATGCCCCCTCTCACCGTTTATACTTAGATACAGCCAAGAATCGTGTAACGCAAAGAAAACTGTGAAGAATTGTTACTTTACCACAGGCCAGCCATTGACGACTAAACTAGATAACGAGAAGAGAAACAACTGACAGATTCAAACGCATTGCAAGCTTTATATGCATGTAAATGCACACAAAGTTTGACATATATAGATAGAAAATTCTTAAATGATTTCTTACTGAGTATGTTTAGTTGTAGTTTTGTATAGACAGTTGGTTTTTTATTGTTGCACTTAGAAATGGGGTTAATTGACTGAATCAACAACAGATTAGTTGATTCTGTCTCCCTTACTTCTAATATATGACATACTACACTCTTTTTTCTAAGAACAAGACTACTTTTGCCGACACCCAATGTTCTTACTTTTTGCTAATTTCAGCCTCGAGTGTTCTTAATGTTTTTATTTTGCAAAATTGATTTTCTATATCTGCAAACCATGAATACTCTCCAAGTCCCCTGAATAACAGTTCTGCAAGACATTATTAGAGGCACGGTTCATTAGCTGACAAAATCTGCTCTGTTTTTTAACAAGAATGCGTCAATTCAAAATCCAGCCAATGGGTCATAATTACTAAAAAGTAGGCTTATTAATTTCTAACTAGGAAACTAGGATCTTCCTTATCAATGCGGTAAATGTTTTAGATGCCATTTTCTGGCCATCCTTAAAATGTCATACCTCAAATTTTTCTCATCGCCAATCATGGTGGTGGCTTTCACTAAACCCCTAAGCAATATAAACATTTTGCCCCCTCACTTTCAATGAAGTAGAGACTCCCATGGTACCGAGGTTCGAACCTCAGCTGCCCCTTTACCAGTCAATCTGGCTGCTCAATCAATGATCGGAAAAACATCAACCCTCGTCATTTTCAAACTGCAAGATTACATGACAAGAACTACTTAGATATTTCATAGAGCCCCCCTTGTGAAACTTTTACGACTACATCCCTGGTTGATAAACATAAATTTATATTTCTTTCAATTCTATTTTACGTTATTTAATCACTAGATTTTCCTCCAAAAATACCAAATGAAAACATTGCCAACCACAGCGTGGAGGGTCTTTGCCCGCAGCGTGAAGGGCTCTTGGCACTTTCCTAAACGCACTACAATCCTTTTTACATTTTCGTGTTTATTATATGCCAAAATAGGCTGTTCGAGTGTCGGTCCATTTTTTCCTCATACTCTCCCCCTAAAAATGCATTCCCTTTAATGCGTTCGCGTGTTCCCTTTAAAAAAAGAGCCAACGTTCCCGCGCTCTCGTTGATAAATAAAAATATGTTCCTTTAAACTACGTAGTAATAATGTTCCCATGTAAACAATTTAAGCTGTTCCCGTGTTCCTGTACCATTTTTTGCTATGTTCTCTTGTTCCCGAAAGACCCTAAAAAATAATTCAGTCTGAAAAGTACTACGAAAAGATTGTTTAAAAATGATTCAATTTGCGTTCTTTACTGCTTGTCGAAAGCATTTGAAGACGAGCCTCCCTCTCCCGCCTGGTTGTTTGGCCATCGATTTGAAGGATGATATATAAGTTCAAAGGTCGTGTGTTGTGCGCGCCTCTGGAAGTTGTAAGGACAGGCACGGTAAACATGGAGGTGGTTGTAGAGGTGAAAAATGAGGCGACTGGTGCATATTATCAGGTACCTTCACCATTGCGATCATGCCTTTACATTGATTGTAATTTAAAGCCTTCCCATGTAATTACAAGCATTTATCCATATTTATAGGCAGAAATTAAGAACATTCACAGCGAAGAAGCGACGATTGCCTTCGACTACAGGTGAGTGTACGGCCTTAGTTCGTCTTTGATGCATTTTACTAGTAACTGAGGGCCAATTTTCACAATGTCTCATAACATTCCTATTTTTGATTTCTTCAAGCAGCACTTATTTACAAAGGGGCATTTAACTTTCACAATCATGTGTCTGCTGAGATATATCTGTTGTCATTGGACCAAAATGAGCCTTCGGCAAATGAGCTGTGCGTGGTAATTGCACATTTTGGCTGTCGTGGAAAATTATTTCGAATGTTGTTTAAAAGCAAGATGTATCAGAATGGTCTCAACTCTTCATCTACCTAGTATTTCTTGCTAAAATATTAAACGCCTATGAATATTTTCATTGCAAATTCCTTGAAGGTCCCCTCATCCAGTTCAACTTTCTAAATATACCTTTCATGCAGAGCAAAATTTTGACAACAATTTTAGTAAAATCATTAAAGTTGCACCATACATGGCAAGGAATATGTTATGATTGATAAAAATCGTTTCAATCTTTCCAAAACTCGCGAGTTGGTTCTTTTTGAGGGATCACCATGCTTTTGGAGGAAACCATGTGCATATTTCGAAATCTTTTTTGCCTTAATGCGCATGCTCAAGAGTTGTTTTGATTTTGCCTTTCACGAGTAATGGCCACCCGGAACCTGTCTACTTTGTTGTATTTGTAGTAATATAAGATCAGACATTTGAGTAGCCAGCCAAAAGCAGTGATACTGGTTTATCCTTACAAAATTTTTAAAAAATTTTGTTGAGGTCAAATTTTGCCTAAAAAATAATTGAAAAATTATCAAACAAACATTATATCAAACAGATATCAAACAGAAATAATTGAAAAATAGCTTTGAAAATAGCAATAATTTTGAATCTCAAGCTTTTTGTCTGACACTTCAGAGTATGAAAAGTCAAAATATAGATCAAAGCATTACCCTAGGAAATATATACTGTATTTCCTCTAATGAATGCCGCCCTCTGATGAACGCCGCCCTCTATTGAACGCTGCACTTTCAGCCAAACATTTGGAAAAAACGCCGCGCTCTGATAAATGGCTCACTCTGATGGAGACAGAGATGTTGACATTCCTGGACTTGACAATCTTTTTATCTTTTTTCGTCACATTTTTCTTGCCATTTTTCATTTGACAAACTTTTCATTTTGTATTGAGCGCCACCCTCTGACAGTGGCAAAGTGAGGTACCCAATTTTAGTTAAGGTTAGACAAGTTCCCTTGAGAAAAGTTTTTTTCAGCTAATGTGAAAATACCTAAAAAAGCCTTAGGTAGGCATAAAACTTTTAATAATTTGCAAAAGATTAATTTTCAGAACTTTCTTGAGACATGTTTTGAAGAAGCCTTGGCTTTAAGGGTTAAACAAGTTTTTAAATTCTGAAATCAAAATTTTGATTGTTTTTAACGCTAACTTGCTTTCAAACTCTGACAATAAATTTATTCATATTTACTATTTCAAGAGCAGTTTGAATCGCCTGATTAAACTGTCAAATCTAAAGGAAGGCTTTTTTTAGATAACATAACACAGTTAGATTTAATTCGCACAACATTATATAAAATGTCTAAATTGTTTTGCTCTGATACATGACAAGATAAATACACTTTCGATGACCCTTTCCTAATTCCTTACTTGGAGCTATTGTACTTACAAGTACAAATAGTGTTATTTTTATAAGTAAAAAAATTAACGCCTCGCTAGAAATAATAGTGTGCTCTACAAAACAGATGCTAGGTGTAAGCAAATTAATTTTTCAATCTACCCATAACTGTGTAAGAAAACAGTGAAACTTAGAATTAAGTTGCTATTAGTTCAATAAATAATTTATCAGTTGTTCACAATGATTTGCTTCTATAATGAAAAGAAAGTATCACCTTTCATGGATGAGAACAGTCACTTGTGCTAAGCACAATTAATTACCAGCTCAAACATGCAAGATCAAGCCATTTCTTTTCAATTCGAAAAAAGCATGTCTAAGTTAGGAAATCTTAGATTGCTTTGAACACTTTCCACTTCCAAATCAAAATTTATGTTCCAGCTCTTAGGAAAAGTCTAAAAACAGATCTTTTCACTGAAATGTGGCCATTAAAATCAAAAGAAAACACATGACTTGGATTTCCTTCAACAGAGAACTCTTTGCAGAAACAAGCGAACTTGGAAGTGACTGTGCTATTCTGTTGTTTTATAAAGTAATCTGTAGTAGTGACAGGGGCGGCTGGGAGATATTTTAAACTGCTATTAGAGAAAATCGTTTGATCAGGACATGGCTGCTGCTGTTTTTTGCTTCCAACCAAACCCTCTTCAATGGTTGTTTTCAAAATTGCGTTGTTTTTTCTATGTTCTACCTCATGGTCATATCTTGATTTTCTTGGCCGCAAGTCGAAGATGCCTTTCCATTTTTTATTTTAAGGCTCTCTATCTCATAGCCATAAAGAGAAAAGCAAAAGAACAAATAGGGAGGGGGGCTATGGCCACAGTCGGAGGTATATTTGATCTCCAGATCAACATGTCCCATTGTCAGACTTATCAGACTTATAATTTTGATTTTGATACTAATCCCAAAAAGATTGTAAAGTTGCAACCTGTTTCATAGTTCTAAAATAGACTCAGGCCCTTTTTTCAAATTTTTACTAAAAATGGCCTTCATGGGAATACATCTACTACAGTTCCAAAGTCATGTCGACACATTCAGTCTTTTAATTACAACTGTAGGCTTTGGCTTTGACAGCCTGCAGCATGCAGATAAATATTGTCAGCTTACAGTGAAAAGGCCCTCTGTCCGCAGCCATAGCCTCTTTTTTGTTCCTTTTTGGTTTTCCCAGAGATGAAACTAGTTGATTGGAAATTTACTTGATTGTCCATTCAACTAAATTCATCTCTGGGAAAACCAATCAAGTCTGCATGCAGTCTACTATTAAAGTCCCTCTTTTAATAGCAAAATCATATCGGCAATTATAGTACATTGAAGGACAAATATTTTTGATAAATACTCATTGTTAACATATAAAGCCAAAGCATGATTTTTTTCAATTCAATTTAAGTGCAGATTACAAATTTTGATGAAACTAACATAAGAGCTTGAGAATAAACTACATATTGCTATGCCAAAAAATAATAACAGAGCGCTATCTTTCATATGTTTAAACAAAGTCGCTGTTGGTGTGTTTATTGTTGTTGTGAAGAAAGCATTGTCTGTGTATGTCCTTACAACCTCCAATGTAAACTAGAAACAGCCATATGATTTATTTTAAACGCAATATGCCACCGGAATGGAAAAGCAAAAGGAGGAATTTTGAATTAGAAGTGATGCGGCTAATAGCAAGTCCGCATATATTTGGTCTTTCACAACAGCATGATTGGCCACTTTACATCACACAATGAGAGACAAAACAAAGGTGGATAAGAAAGTTGCTAATAGGAACCACAAACCTAATAGCAAAATTTCAAGGCTGTGGCTGTAGTATTTGTTTGCAGCGGTCAGATGAATGCGTCAAAATAAGTGTTGCAACAAGCGTAGGAGGGAGGTCTTTTTTTGAAAGGGTCAAATCAGTTTCAAGAGTAGCGGCTTCTGCTCACATTACCATGGCCATATCAGGCCATATCATTGCAAAATGGCAGGAAAACAGTTGGCCATCCAAATAAACTGTTTTTGCTGAAGATTCTCCAGTTCTAATTTCATTTTAAAGATATATGACCAGTAGATTATGAGGGCCTTTGCTGAAAAAAATTGCTATTAGACTAATAACGCTAATACCTCTCCCAGCCGCCCCTTAGTAGTGGCCAAAGACAGTTTATAAGTTCAGACTGTTTCTTAACTGATTACTGCCTAATCTGCTTGGTACTTTTGTTCCAAAAACAAGCTGGTTACATTTATGGTTGGCTCTCTTTACATTGTATTTCTGTATTATCATATTTCCTAGATTTACCAGATTTGATAAAATTGATACATAAGTTATAAGAAATGATGAAGTTTGTCTATAAAAAGTATGCAGTTAGTGTAATATTAATTGTGCATATTACATTTAGGCATGTAAAACAGTAAAATTCTAAGTTGCAACTAGTTTTACACTTATTGAGAAATTTTTCACATACCACATGAAACAGTGAGTGCCAACAAGGTGTGAGCAGCTCTGCTTACATTGCATCAAGCACTCTAAAGCAAACTATTTGACAGTACTTTTCATTTCAGATCCTATATATTACATTTGTAGACCGTCTATTGTCTCATCATTTGATTAACTTCTACATTTTGCAGTCCAGAACAATGGATTCGTGTACCATTAGCTGTTGTACGCAAACCTCCTGCAAAAGTAAGGCAGGCTCTTGATTTCAAAGAGGGAGATGATGTTGAGGTAAACAAGCTTTATATTTTCATACGCTTAATTTCCTAATTTAGTATAATTCAAGTTTGTAAGTTGTCAGGAAAGTCTTGAATGTAAAGAGAGACACAAAAGCAGCTTCTATTTTTTTCTAAACATGTTAACTGTGTTATTTGTATTAACAGTATTGTTAGATGTGGAGCAACTTATATGTGGATACCAAAAGCAGGTGTAGCCTACTTGTTTGTATCAATTCCCTGGTCCTTCCTGGCACAAATGTTCTGAAGACATCATTTGTGTATGATATCCTTTCAAAATATCTTGATGATTTTATTTATTCTCATGTCAGGTAAGTCATTATTCTTTCTCTCAAAGGTCTTCTCAAAAGCAGCAGACAATGAGCCATTTGGTTGGTGGAAAGCAAAAATTGTCACACAGAAGGGAGAGGTTTGTTCTGTATTATTCATATTCTGTTTTGATATTTTCATTGCCCAAGGAAACAGAACATCATTCCCAGTATGTTGTTAATGGTATGCACTTTTTGCAACTTGCAGCTCCAAGTTTTATGCATCAGGCAAGACTTGCATGACAGACCAGCTGACATTGGTAACTAAGTAATAGTTGATAAAAGCACATTAAATTATCAGATAAATAACTTTCTGTAAACACAATTTTTCTGTTCTTCATTAGTAATGTCTTTGCAAAATTAGAGCAAGATATTTTTAAGTCAAATTATAGAAGAACAATAAAAACAAAAGAAAGCTCTAGAGAACATACCACCTGTAAGCCCTCGATTGAGCTCCAGCCTTGAAAAAAGCCCATCCTCCCTGAAATAACCCCCCCCCCCTTAAATGCTTATTTTGCAAAATTAGTGGTCAGGGTATTTACAAGGATTTATGGTAATACAATACAATTGCTAGATGTGTAAAAGTAAAAAGATGTTTTGTTGCATCGAAGAGGAGAAGAGATGAGAAATCAAGGAAATAAAATGTGACCGTATGTCTGCAATTGGACTGTCTGCAATATTGTATATTGTTTTTAAATTAGATCAATAATTAGCCACTGTTATTTATTAAAATTGCTTGATTACTAGCATCATCAAATATTGAGCAATCTGTTCTTTTTTAATCCCCACCATTCTTCTTTCTTTCAGAATTATTCAACATGTACCTGTTTCTCCTTTTAATCGGCTCTTTTCTTCCTTGTACCCATGCATTCAAGTTTTGGTACATGAAGATATTCAATACTGTGTATGCATCGTTTTCTAAAAGCACTAACTAAAATGCCATAACAAAGTACAATTAAAGACTGTTAAGCTATTAAGATTGCAATTTCATACAAATCTAGGCAAAACAAGCCATCAGTAATGTTCAATTCCACTGTTTTGTTTGACAGCTGCTAGATAATTTCCAGTGTCAACTCAAGCAAGATAACTGATTCTAACATGTTGATTTTTTGAATTGCAGCTTTTCGTTGTAAAGTTCAAAGGCTTTGATGATTGTTTCAATGAAATTGTCCCAAAAGAAAGGATACGTCCAGTTAACAAGAAGTGAGTTTTAAAGTAGTTAAAATTTACGGATTAGATTTGCACCCTCACTTTAATTTCAGTTACGCATGCTCTAAAATTTCAATGCCCCTTTGATATTTTTTATAGCAATTCAATATCAAGAGACATGTATTACAAGTGTATGATCGATGTTCCTCAGGACTTAAAGCAGATGTGAGTAACCTAACTATACTATACTTTGGTTCCTGGTTTTCATAGGAATAATTTTTTTCATTTTGCACTCGAAATAAAAACACCTTTTGGTATAAGATTTTCTAGAAAAGATCAGCAGACAGGCCAACTCTCTTTGAATAACAGATTTTAATAGGCCCAAGTTTCATTTGAAATTTAGGAGCTTGCGAGAAATATTGGACTTGCTGCGCAAAGAATTGGGCACTTGCTTATGGAAATGCTGTTCTTATTTTGATGCCTTCCCAGGCAACAATGCACAATTTCCATCCAAGGATAATCATGTTGCGAATCTAACTGAGTGAGTTAAATGAATATTTAATTTGTTATCATCACATCTTGATCAATAGGTGCAAAGATTCAAGTGTCCACGCAGAATTTCAAAAGCAATCTGGAGCGGTGTCAGTGGTTTTCCACACGGATTTGAATGTTCTTGTTGTCCTGGTACAGATACACTTACATTTTCTGTCAAATTTTTCTTTATCTTGTTAAATGACATTGATCTAAGCAAACTTCTATCTCGGGAAAACGATTTTTCGAACGGTTTTTTGCTGTTCCTCGATTATTCTGTAATTATATCAACTTCTGCTGCTGAAAAAGCTTACACTTTTAAGGCATTGAGTCATGATAAATAGGCCTTCTCTATAGGGGGTCATTTGGTTCCGGCGTGATCGCTGCTGTTTCATGTGATATTTGCATCCGTTGTTGACAACTTGCGATTGATGGAAATTGTTTGTCAATCAGTACAAGGTGAGTTCATGTGACCAGTTCCAGGTCAACCAATAGCATTGCAGTCATGAAAACCATGACTCAGCGGAATTTTTGCACTAAGGGTATACCCAATCCATTTTATCATAACTCAATGCCTTTAAGATCAAGGAATAAGGTGTGAAATTTTCGGCTTAATATCCCAGAAATCCCATTTTTGTATTGCTATCTGTTGATTTAATAGAGATAGACATGTATGGATTTGATTGGCTCCGCTTCTAGCGAGTGCAGCTCTAGTCAAGACTACACGTGGTCGTTGTCAATAATATCTTGCAAATTTTCACTAAACCCTTACTGCTTTCTCCCTGTTTGGCATTCTCACTTGAAGTCACTATGTTGCATCCTTCTTGGCTGGATAGATGATGGTTTCTTCTCACCAATACTCGAAAACAATAGCAGTTAATTTCCATAGTTATTTGTTATCATTGTGTTTAGTAACTTATTTAGCTAGGAAGCGTAGGAAGTTTGATTAGGCGGTTCTGACGCAAGTTGCTCATAAAGTGCTCCGTTTTTTGGAAGCATGCAATCGAAAATTGGAACACCCCCTTAATTTTCAAACCCTATCATGCAACGTAGCCGTTTGCAGTATCTCCATCCACCGAACCATTGATGGAAAATTCTAGAAAAATCATTAACATGTTTGTGATTTTTTCGGCAGTCCACAAGTGAAGAAGCTATCAAACGATCTGCTATTCTAAGTGAAATGCATTTCAGAAGTTTGAGAACAAAACTGCTTCTGCAGACAAGAAATGAAGAAGCATCATTCCAACTTGAGGTAAGGACAGTTAGCTTGAGGTAAGGATAATAAGCAATGCTATTAAATGGATTTTCATGTAAAAAACCAACAAAAGCATGAAAAACAGTATTTGGGATGAAGAAGGATTCAATTTTCCTTGCAGTCTACATATTACAGGACTTAACAAATTTGTGTAAGTTTCGAAACAGCAACTTGATCTATTGAAAAATAATGGTTATAGCCCTAAGTGTAGAAAGAAGATAGCCGTAATGGTTTTAAAAATGGTTGGTGATAACGATTATTTGTATAAGTTTTGCGCAAAAAAATGCCAAATCAGTACATCTTAGATTTGTGGGGGCCTTGGGGTATTGAGAGTTAACTGTACCTAGATCTTTATTGACATTACTGTTGATTTTGCTGTTGTTGGTTTCAGTTTTTATGTCTTGTTAGCACGGCATACTACCAAGCTAGGTTTTCAAGAAGTTTTTGCCTTAATGAGGCCTGTTGATCGTACATTCAACACAAGTGAATTGACAATGACTCGTCCTGGCAAAATCCCTCTCAGTGTTCATAATTTGCCTAATCCTTCTTTATCTTCATGTAATTTGGCTACTCTGTAAGAAAGGCTTGCTAAATTCAACCATAGCTTTCTTCTGCGAACATCGTTTCGATACTTGGATGCTGTGCTTGTATTGGAAAAATTCTGCCTACTCAGATTTGTTCCTGTAGATTAATTCAAATTTTCTTATTAGAATGCGAAAAATCAACCACATCAAGGTAGCATATTGGAGCAATTGAAGTTACCTGAAGATCTTGTCGGGCTTGCCATTGGAGCACAGGGTGCTAACATCCAGGCTGCCAGGAAGATTCCCGGAATCATTGCTATCGAGGTGGATGAACCCAAGTGCACGTTCCACATCGTAGGAGAGGTATCGACACAATTCGTTTGATAATCTCATACATCTAAAAACAGTGAACAGTAACAATCAGGGAAATGTTTCCACAGGGCCTCTGTTGAAAATTCAACATCAAGGTTGTTATGAATGAGAGGTTGAGACATCCGTTTAAAAGAGCCCAGGCAAGCGCGCATGTTTAATCTAAAATCTATCCCCTCCTCTGAATCAGATTAGGGGTGTATTCTTTTAATAGCAGAAACATCAACTTTAATTTGGGAAAAGGAATGGCGAATCACAGTATTGTTTTTCTAGGACTTCAGCACTACTATAGTGAAGTCTTCCTGTTGCGTTGGCTGCTTTTTAAAGAGGCTGAAAATTTGCAACCAATTAAAGATTCAATCCAGAGGCACAAGACAGTCATGCGTTTGCCTGCAATGCCACAAAGGTTTTGCGTGCATTTTGGTAGTAAGAAGCATTGAAAATAATGAAAAATTAATGAAACTGTTTTCTTTCAGAATAAAGCGTGTATCAAAGAGGCTAGAAAGCTGTTAGAATTTGCAGAGGATATAATCTTTGTTCCAAGAGTCTACGTTGGTAAGTGTTGCACCAAGTACTGGTAAAGCTTACTCCGATTTATTTTCAAACTTTTTCCCTGCTCTGGTTTATTGATTTGTGGACTTTCATAATTGATGATCCTGAAGTGACAATAAATAGGCTATCCAGTTTTAGATTTCGTAGTACTTAGAGCTGTCGTAACTAAAGCACATTGATTAAACAGACCCAAAATGGGAAAACCTAGGGGACCCTACCGATATTTTATCGCTGAGAGTTACTAATGGGTCGCACGCTTTTATGGCACGCTAGTTTAACTCATAGTAGACCTTCAACGTTTTGTTTGCTTCTATTTCACTTAAAATATTGTCACTTCCATCAAAAGACATATGATTGTTTCCACTGATTTCGTTGTTTTTTGTTTACAGGAAAGGTTATTGGGAAGAACGGTCGCATAATCCAAGATATTGTTGACAAATCTGGGGTTGTACGAGTGAAGATTGAGCCGGTATCTGACGAGCAGTCTGCCGAGGAAAAGGAGGTATTGCTCTTGCATTCGACTTCCCCATCTTTCTTTTGGTTCTTTTAGTCTGATCTCATCCAAGATCAAGTGATCTACTGAATAAGAACTTTGTTTTTCTAAGATAAAGAGAAGAGTCATCAAAAATTCTTTTCAATTTTGTAAATCTGAAATTTTCTTCTGTTTTTTTCTAGAAAGATGTACCATTTCTGTTCATTGGGACACTGGATAGTATATCTTTGGCCAAAATGATGTTGCAGTACCATTTAGCTCATCTTAAGGTTAGTGCCATCGGTCATTGTATACCAACATTCTCAAGGGCTGACAACATGCTATTACAGAACAACATATGTCTGAGCGGCAAGAGCTGCTAAACTATACATTGATAAGACGATTTTCAACATTATGGCATTTTAAGTTATGCATGATGGTATTACATCAATAGACGTAAGTACTGCTATAACTGTATACCTTAGTCCCTTCAAATTTCGCCTGTCTTTATTTTTCGCCCCGGAGCGGGGCGAGAATTAAAGGGGGCGAATTATGGAAATATTTAATGGGGCGAAAATTAGAGGTAGCGAAAATTAAAGGGTCCTTAAAAAATCTATTTTCTATAATAGAACCTTAGTTTTTAGGGCTTTCAAGAAAACTTCAAGCTACCATCTTTGCGCGCGTTAAATTTTCATCCTGCGTTGATCGCTTTCACTGTTACAGTCCTCATTTAGTGACTTTCTGGGAAAATATCCATACTGAAGGTCATAAAAAAGATTTCTTAATCCTAAAAATTTTGGTAAGATATGAATGGTTGTTTATTTGAAACTCTGCTTTTGGCATTCTAGGATGTAGAGAATCTGAGACAGGAAAAAGAGATTATTGATAACCAGCTGAAGGATCTTGGGTTCTCACCTACATCTGGTCCGCACTTTCCACCCCCGGCAGAGATGAAACGTCAGCATGCTTTAAGCGTTGGCCAATCGGATTTCCACGTTCGAGATAGAACGCAAACAGTGGATAGCTATACTGGTGACCTTACCGAGCTACCCGTCTACACAGGCTCGGATCATTACAGTAAAAATCGCATGTCGATGTTGTCAAGGATACGAACCACCAGCGAAAGTGAAGGCGTTAGTTCGAGGAAACCTGATACGGTGTGTGTCATGAACTTTGCCATCAAAGTGGCTTTTGACCTTTCGTATCTCCATTGCAAGTTTTGCCTGGCATTGAAATAGATGTAGTCGTGGATGAATTTCATAGCAGCCCTTATGGCTTTAATTTATGGCGCACACTGGGGGCCTGTATAATATATTTACTTGTTCCGCGGTACAGATTCCAACTTTCAAGGAGATAACTTCATTTCAAATAACATATCATTTCATCAATCAAAATCACTACTACACTTCAACAACTCACAACCAATCTAAATAGAATAGTTTAAACACTCCCTTATGTTACAATTAGTGAACGTATCTATGGCTATCAAAATAAACAAACAAACTGTAGTTAGTATTGGGAATACAATCAAAAAGAAATAATTTAAGTAAATATGATACACGCTAAATTTCCCACGAAATAATATAAAAGAACTGTGAACGCATTATGGTAAATTATCCTCTAATTAGTTGAAAAACAGATATGCGCAGTTACATAAACATACGCAGTAACAGCAAACTTACACAACAGGGCCGACACTTGGTCAAATATTGGGGGGCAAGCCTATTGTTTTAATAAGATGACGTCACATTTTCCCACTGTTTTAGCACAAAAGACTTTTGTCTTGCAAAGTATTGGGAGTGACCGCCTCGCCCCCCCCCCCCGCCCCCCAGTGTCCGCCGCTGACGCAAACTCGTTTCCAGGCGGCCTGTGATTCAAGCTGTTAATTGAGTCTTACAGATAATAAGTATTCCAGGATCTGTGTTGAATGTGCAAATAAACAGCACACCATTTTGTATGTTCATATATTGAAATTATTATGAGTAAAGGGGATTTTCAGTTAAGATAGACGTCTTTTAAGAGGAAGAATAGTGTCAAATGTTAAATTTTGTGCCAGTTAACGATTATATGAGTATGACCGTATTAGTTTTTTTTAAACGTCACGTCACAAGCGTTTTTGTTTCGTTTTTTACGATTTATGTTTATATACATAATGAATTTATGTTTATAAACATAATTGCCACGTGTTTTGTGAGAAGAATATGTTTTCTGTTAAATTCCAGAGTGGAAGAACTTCCCCACATGGTGGCAAAAACTCCCCCGAAAACATCCCTCCAACCATATCTGAAGTTGATGCTGATGCTAAAGAGGACGCCCATCCGTACCTTGGTGGTGGCATGGGGAGAGGTAAAATTGGATCAAACAGAGGTGCCATTGCCAGTAATCGAGGAGGTAGAGATGACACAAGAACGAGAAGGACAAGCGAAAGTGAAAGAGACAAAGCAAACAGAGGTAAGCGTATCCTGTTAGAATGGTTTTCCTCAATTCTTGCTTATATGTCAATAGACAAAGCTGCCTTTTGTGTTAACTTGTTGTAGCAGTAGATAGGGAAATCCTGGGCCTGTTTTCTCAATCATAATCTGCTACCCCGAGAGTCAGAATTTGTCTCGGAAATATAGTTTAGATATAGTCCATGGTAGTTTGCTGCTGGTCAGTTAACACGGCACACGTTTCAACCAGCATCGTTCTATTACACTTTTGTGGAATACAATTCCATTACACTTCCATAGAAGAGCAAGAAAATGTGCAGTGAATACAGAAATGTTTATACTTTTTTGTCAAATACCTTTTATTTTTAAAGTATTTTTGTACAACAGTGCATAATCCAGGGAGGTTCACATCTTTCCTCCGGACAATACCCTAAAGTCTTAAAGCCTCCTTAGAAAAAAATGAAAATAAAACCGGGGTTCGGAACCTTGGTTTCTTTTTTTCTCACTTTCCTTCCTCACATTTGTTTTTAACCGGGTGACCGCCATGTTTCCTGGGACAATTTTAAGGATGAGGGTATGGGTACGAAAACGCTACCTGGGAGGGGGTACGCTGATTTGAGTTTGGGGTTGTGCTTAATAAGCTCTCAAGGAATATTTTCCACCAATGTGAAACAACAAGATAACCTGATTTTCTTCGTCCTTTCTCAGATCAAGACTGGAGAAATCGAGCTGAAGAGTCAAAAACAGATGGTACGCATCCTTCCTTTTTCTTAGATTTGGATCCATAATTGAATTCTTTAAAATTTAAACGACACTTGCCATATTGTCAAGTGTACAAAAATAATTTGTTATATTTGCATTCATTCTTCTTAAACAATTAAGTACTGTGTAGATATCTAGCCCCCATCAACAGCTTATCGAATTGATTTTGAAACAGTGCTTCATGTAACCAGCCCATTTTTGTGTCTTCGTTTGACCCAATATGTTGATGCTAATCTGAATTCAAGATTTAGATTCAAGTCATTTTAGTCTTATTCCTTTTCAAAGCCTTGTAATAATATGTGATATTTCTTTGAAGTCCATAAACTTCAAGATGAGGACAGAAGGCGACGAACCCAGAGTGCTGGCGACCTTGAAGAGAGAAGAGCTTTTGGGAGATTGGATGAAAGATACGTTTCAAGACCCGCGTACGGTAAGTTTGATGGCAGCGGAAAATCTGAGCATCATCAAAATCAAAACAAGACTCAAGATCAGAAAGAGGCGGAGGCAAAACAACAGAATGATGCCAAGGGCCAACAAGGGAAGAAGGGACCAATGAACGAAAAACAGCCAACAAAACATCAAAACTCATCCCCAGTCCACAATCGTCAAACTGGAAGACAATATCAGCAGTTTCAACAACGTAGTCAGCATTGCCATGTGCACCAATCCCATGGGCACCAACCACACGGACAGCAACCACACGGACAGCAATGTCATGGGCACCAACAGCAAAAGCAGCACGTGCGTCAGAATCGAAGAATTCAAAGAAACGATGGCAAGCAGTCTGAGAGTCAGGAAAATAAAGCGAATGGAAACAAAGCTAATGGCCAGAATAAACATAAAAATGGAAAACCTAATGATACATCAGCAAATGGTAAGTGTGTTTGCGGTCTGTGTTCTTGATTCTAAGCATTCACTTCAATGAATTCCTAAATTATTTATGAAACCAAGCTCAGGATTGGCACGCTTGTTTTTTGATTATTTGTTGTGGATTTTAGTGCTAAAAGTTTCTTAAAGTTTGTATTATATGCTAAAGCGCTACTCGAATATCAGTACCCAGTCTCTGTGTATTTAAGTCATCCCTGCATCGAATTAAATTCATTCAAAATAGCCGGAGTTAATAGCCGAGATTCCCTTTTTGAAAACTTGAACGAAAATCACCTCTTAACCAGTGGCGGACACTTGGGGGAGGCGACCGCCCCCAATACTTTAGAGGACAATGGTCTTTTGTTCTAAAACAATGGGAAATGTGACGTCATCTTATTAAAACAATAGGCTTGCCCCCCCCCCCAATATTTGATCAAGTGTCCGCCCCTGCTCTTAACTTACTACTTGCTATTTGTAGGCAAGCAGAAAATCGAAGCAAGTAACACAGTAAAAGCTGCTGAGGACGAAAAGAAAGAGACCCAGACGAACAAAGAAAGCGCTGCAGAATCAAAGAGTGGGTCAGAAAGCGAAGCAAAAGACGGAACGGCGTCCCAAAATTCGAAACCCTCAACAGCTAAAGATGAGAAGCCAGCTGATTCAAGCAGTGTCAAGAAGGCAAGCAGTGTAACTGATCAGACTGTGACAGTTGCGTAGATTTTGTCGTAAAGATTAATAAAATTGTCTTTGAATAAAACGGTGCTAGGGCAACATGTTTGGTACTTGATAATATATGGTACTTAAAGTCCCCCGGGCAGTATTTCAGTTAAGTTAGCATTCTTATGTTGGTCTTTTTTTTGTATGTACTGTAAACCGAGAGCAAAATTTTTGCAATTTAACATCTGTGATCACGACTAATTTCTGTTGAAGGTTGTGAACTTAGTTTGAAATATCAAATAGTTAACTAAGAAATTTTGTGATGGACATCTATGCAAGCGAGCATTAATTGTCCTGCCAGCAAATACCCCTAATGTGAAGCTAAAACTGTCAATTCTAGAATCTTCAAGATTTAGTTTCATGTTTCAAAATTCATGTTTTTTATCTTATGCTGCTCTGACCATCAGTCTAAGACATTCTGTTGTACCCATTACCCAATACTGCTCTATATTTAATGTTTTTATTATCTGTGTGTCTGCGGAGCCATTTAGGCCAAATGTACTAAGGCAAACTCTGTAGATCTCGAATTATCTTTGATACATGCACCATAGCTGAAATGGTTTAGAAATAACCGTTGATGTCTTTCTGTTCTAGGCTTTAAGCTTGTCAATCATCGTACGTTTCTCCAGGGCTGGATGGGTTCTCATCCTGTAAATACTTTCTACCAATTAATGTCTTGTGTTGACCCATACACTTAAAGCATCTGTTTTGAACCCTGTAAATTTTTACGTCTTTATCAATTATGTATCTCTTTCTGTATACAAGAACATTGTGTTTTTAAGGCCATGACATCTTTTTTGGCAGAATTGCTACGTTGTTTGATAGCAATTTTATAACCCAAGTTGCTCGAAAGAAGCTAAAAGCGCCTACTGAAAAATTGTGCATCTACTCATTTTATTAGACGCTTTCTAGTCAGTGTTAATCAGGTTCCTAGGCAGTTGGCTTCAGAAAAGGAGGTTTGGCAGGCTGGAGGCGAGCCATTGCTCAACAACATGAATGAGAAAGAAAAATCTTTTGCTCTCTACCCAGCATCCCAACCCACCAACCCCCACCAAGATAAATCTTCTTTCCGATCGCCTCAAGTCGTCCTCAGATTTTTAGATATTTTGTTCCATTATTTCTTTCTAAAAAACTCTATGCAGTGATACAACGCTTACTTTCGACTGAGTTAAATTGGATCCATCTTGTCACCTTCAGTTTATTCAAGTTTTTTGCGACTTACAGTTTCATTATACCAGTTACCCTGCCAAAGAAGATGCCATTCAATATATTTTACTCTGTTGTGTCTTATGTTTTTTTAAAAAGGAATGGAAATAAAAACGAATTGTTTTAAGAGGTCGAGATATGATTGTATTGTCTTTGAACTTAATTTTGGAGAATACTATTAACGTCTTTTAAAGTAATAAATTGAATTGAGAGAAAAGATTTTTGGTTTCAAAGAGAATAGCCATTTTCTTTTTCGATGAAACTTGGCAACTTCTATCTTGCGGAACAACATGAATCTAGGAAAGCATGACTGGTCTTTGAGTTGTATTTTTTACCTAATATGTAGTTAAATTTTGAGCTGTTTTACGTCAATCACTCTGGAGTAAGAGCAAACTTTAATGAACATACTTTAGCAACGTTAATTTCTTGCAATAACGTTGCGTTACCGCACATGCTTTAGCTAAGAGGGTTCAATTAATTAATTATTTTTATATCAATGCCTTACCTCCTGTGGTTTTTTATAAAAGGTACTGTAATAGTTTATCGAATTTCATAAAAAGTCTGTGCAAGTATTTTAGAAGCTCGTCGTCATGGACATGATGATACGTTGTCACAGCTTATCATGCTCTTGCTGAAAGGGGTGTTGGTTTCAACTAGGCCCATTTAGGCCCAAATTGATTTCTCATTCTGTGTTGTTATTCATTTGTAAAAAGGTTTGTTGTTTACGATGCTCTCATGAAATCCAGTTCCACATCTACCAAGGTTTGAAGGAAATATATGCATATCACAATTCCCCTTTAAGGTCAACTTCGGATAACCGAAAGGGTCAAAACAAGTTAAATTTTAGCAACGCTTTTAGAATCCTTTCTTGAAGTAGAATGTCAAGGCATATGAACCCAATTTGCTCATTGGTGAAGGCACAATACACTTGAAATAATTGTGGGTAAGAGTTTTCCTTGTAATATGATACTTTGAGCACCTGATTTAACAATATTCCTCTTTTGATAATTATGTGATAAACTAGCACATAACAATATCAAAAAACAGGAATAAAAGAACAGATGTGTTTAAACCGGGATTATTAAAGAAAACAGTCTAAATTACTATGGCTATAGCTGGGGACTGTACCTTAACATTTTTAAGGTACGGGGAATGACGTTATTTTGGGGTACCTTTTTCCTGAAAAGTGCGGAATTATCGGTATCAGTTTTTTTAAATATGTGCGGAACTATGGGTACCATTTGAAGAAACGTGCAGAATTATGGGTACCATTTTGGGAAAATATTGCAAAATCACTACGAGGGATTGCAAGATTAAAATTATTACTAGCATTAACAAAATGATTGTCCAGTTAGAAATAAAAGAATGAAATATGTGTAATGTTGAGATTATGGGACAAAGGGCATGCAAAATTTGTTTGATGATTTTATTGTGCTTTGAAAAGTTTATTTGCTTTGCAGAATTATGGGCATAGTTTTCATCATGTTTGCGGAATTATGGGTCACATTTTTTCATACATTTGCGGAATTATTGGTCCAATTTAGGCTTAGTTACCCCCTCCCCCCTCCGAGGGCTATAGTTGTCTGTTGTGTGCTCAACAACAATATTTTGTATTTTGATATAATATTTTGGTCTTATTAACATTTAAGCTGATTATTTTGGGTCTGTTAAATTTGCTTTTGATATTTTATATTCAGGTGAAGCTTGATACCTGCGGATGCCCCCCCCCCCTCAGTATATAAAAAGTTCGTGTGACGCCTCTGGGAGGCAAGAAAGTGCAGTTTTATTGAATATTGCAGATATTTTTTGTATCTTTTCTTATTATGAGGTAAGGTTTTTCTCTGTTTTAAAAGGGAATAGTCATCAAGAACCTTCTTTTTGCCAAGCCCACCTTTGTGGTCCTGACTATTTGCATTCTTTATAGCATTGGACATCCCTATTATGTGCACAAACGTCGCTTCCTTTGGGCTGAATGAAAGAAAACCTCTTGTGGAAATCTGCATTTTTGAATCAAGATGCCTTTTTTCAATATTATGATTGCGATTTCTGTGCATATCATTGTATCAACTTTGAAATCGTTGACAATTTTTCTGCGGCCACAGGTCAGCCCAAAGCCCAAAGGTCGTGCTTGAGAATTGACCTTTCCCGCTCAGTCAGTGACCAAGCTGTCAATCACGCGGAGCTTCGTTTGGGCGTCGATTAGAATTGGCCGTGCGGTATAACACACGTAGCAAACACGATCCGTATCTTGAAACATGGAAGCGACAGCAGAGCAATCGAGAAGAGTTTTAGTTGCTGTTGATGGCAGCAAATCTAGCCAGTCAGCAATGGACTGTAAGTGAATTTCAAGTTATGTTTGTGTGCATTCACGTTTAGGCCCATCTAGCCAGCAATCTTTAGATTTGTTAACTTTTGTTGAAGTTCCATTGAAAATGATACTGATGCATTTATGTGAAATTAGTCAAAAAGACTATTTAGACTTTATAGCTCAATTTAAAGGCAGTCTAAACTTTTTGCAAAGCTAGGCGTGACCCCTAGTTGTGGGGAAAATTGTTGGCTTATTCTGCGAAAGCCTTTTATTCAACATTATAAAGAATTGTATAGAGATCAAACGTGTATAGAAAAATACGTCTTTTTTACAACTGAATAGTTAGCAAAAAATTGGCATTTTGCTTTATTGTTTTTCAAACAAACAAACAAAGTGGTAAAAGGGCAGTAGATTTGCTCAGATCCTTGACATGTAGCTTCATACAAACTAGGTTTTCTCTTTCCTTTAAGATTTTTGAATGGCTTTTATCATTCCACTACATTTATAATTATTATTTCGATTTATTCAACCTTCATTGTCAACAAATGATATTGTTAAGCAACAATCGAAAGGTAGTTTAAGTCTATTGTTGTGGTTAGTTATTAAACTTTTTATTAAATAATGTATTTTCTTTAAAACTACACCTGCTTCATTACAAACACTATCTGCCCTCAGTTATTTCTTTATTTTGAATTTCAACATTTCCTGGAATTCCACACTGATTCTTACAGTTATAGTTTCTTACATTTTCTCAAATTAGATTAAAAATTATATGCTTAACCTGCTACTGTTACTTAATGAAATATATTTTAGAATTTATCACTATTCAAAGATAATTATGATTGTCTCTACAAGGATATTATCACTTACATAACATAAGAAAGTATTGTATAAGTTACAATGCTAAAAATTCAAAAAGTTTTCCTTGCCTTTATTTGTCACTATGTAAAACTTAATGTAAAACTAAATGTAGTTTGTATTAAATAATGTTTCTTATGTAATTACTTGTAGATTGGATTTAGGATTAATTGATAAATGAATGAAAACTGAAAACTGAAACTGTCACAATTTTCAGGCATATTTAGACCAACTGAGGGTAATTTTTCTCATGGCTTGTTTGTTGTTTGCAAATCTTGCATTGTGCAAGCTTTGCTTGAACTGAATTATAATGAAACCTTAAAAATGTGAAAGCACAGCAAAGATCACAAGTTGAAAAGCCAAGTAAGACCATTAAAAAACGGTATGAAAGATTCTTTGTTGATCAACTATCTGCCTAGGTTATGTCTAGAGGCCAATTCAATTTTTGTCTTTTTATATGCTAATTGCCATATATGGAAGACTGAATCTTGAAAATCGTTAAGAAATTTAAGGCACCTTGCTAATATGGTTTAAGAAGAATTGCCTTAAAAGAATTATAGTATATTTGCTGTCTCTTGCATAGAAGTATGAAATACAAAATGACACTTGCATTGTTTTGCATTTTTCAGTTTATCTAAATGAAGTACAGAGACCCAATGACGTTGTTTTGTTGGTCCATATGTTTGATGCTCCCTCCCCTCCAGCTGTTTCATTAAGACGTGAGTAGACTTGCATAACTTATCTACATTCTATCAAAAAGATACATATATACAATGCTTAAAAAATGTTTTCTTGGAGTTTAAAGATAATGAGTATGCCTATGTATTAATTGTAAAAAATTCTCAAATATAATTTTCTCTCTTTGCTTTTCATAGAAAAAGGTTGCTTCTTTAGCATCTTAGTGAAGGTCACAGGTCAAAATTCAAAGTGTTTTATGTCATAGGTCATTTGTATTTAGCCATAAAAAGGTAAAAGCAGAAACTAATCTGACTTCAGAACAATTTTGAGACTTGTGATATATTTTATTTGAGATACAGCTTTTATTTAAGAACATTTCAAATAGCAAAGCATTTCAGTGATTTTTAACCAAGGCAAGAGGCAATGCAGTGAATGCAGCCTGTTTTTGGCCATAGGGCTCTGGCATACAGTGAAACTAATTAGATAAGAATGTTCCATAGATTCAAAGTGCTAGTCTAACAAAATTTTGACCTGGCCAAGCCCCTAGGACAAAAACTGAATGCACCTAAACCCATTCTAAAGAACAAGCATTCATTTGAAGCTTTAAGCTTAAAATTATTTGAATTTCACCTGCTAACTAATTGCAATTTAGCAAAGTTACGTTCTTGAAGGAGGATAAAACGACAATTAAAAAAGTAGAGTTTAATGTTGAATTTCGAGCAACCCCTCAAACTAAGGAAAATAGGGGATGTTCCCCATTGATTTATGTTAGCTTAACTTCAAAATGTTTGGGTTTCAAAAATCATGTTTGCTAGATACAAATGACCTCCTAGTTTGTGTATACCGTAAGGAACACGTTTTCCTTCTGGATTGCCAGTGCTACAGGCATCTGTCCTTTGAAATACATTTCAAAATTACTAATGATTGATTTTGTATATAACTGGTTAGGCATAGATTGTCATGATATGTTTGTTATTGCAGATCCATCTCCAGAACCATGGGATGAATGGAGAGAGAGGGTGGACATAAAGCTTAAAGAAGTGAGAGAAATGATGAAGAGCCACGAAAGGGCCTGTGACCAACACAATGTAGGTTCCTATGTATATTTTTGCATTGTCAGTTTTTGAAGATAAAAATTCCATAAAGCTATTCTTTTTATATGACATGAAATGTCGTGAAAACACTGATGAGCCATATTTTGAAGCTATTCTATTTTTCATTATGCTCTCTCTGTATGATGTGAATATGGTAGCTGTGAAAATGGTTTAGTTTATCAAAGAGGAGCAATAGATTTTTTAGAGTTTTTAGAATTTTCAGTCCATGGCCCAGAGAAAAATTTGACAAGCCTTCAATATAGACTAGGGAATTTTGCTCAAAATTGATATTTTGAATAAAAAAGTAAAATCTTTTGCTAATGTTTGATTTAAATGGCTATGTAGGGATAAGTGGTTGGTCTTGAATTCTCCCTCCCTGCTAGTTATCGAAACAAGGACTGCCAAAACCAGAGACAAACAATAACTCTGAATTGTGAGCTGAATAATTCATGGAATTGTGAGCCATGATGATAGATGATCTGTGAAATGAACTTGAGCTCAATCTATTTTCAGAGAAGTTGAGAACCAATTTTCAGAATCAACCCATTTTTAAGAACTCAATCATTGGTTCGTTTTTTAAAGACCTTTTTTTCAATGGACCTAGTTTTTGTATTGCTTCTACCCATCCCCATTAACTCTTGTAAATGTTCTAATGGCGTTGTAGCTCAAGCAAAAAGTCATCATTCATACTGGCAATCCAGGGGAAGGAATTTGCAAAATTGTTGATGAATACAAGCCAATAATGGTGGTGATGGGTTCACGCGGCCTGAACTTACTGCGACGCACATTCATGGGCAGTGTCAGCAGCTATGTGCTTCACCATGTTGATATCCCAGTCGTTATTATTCCGCAATAAACCCAACTGGTACTTTAGCAATTCCTATTTTTTATTGCCAAAGAAATTTCAACGCTTATACATTCGCTTCACCTTTCAACTTTAGGCACAGCAGGATTGTAATTATAATCTCGCACTAGTCATGTAATTTTTTTTATTACTCACAACATTTAGATAATAAAGATTCTCAATAATATTGTATATCATACCCAATATTGTACCATGGTACTTAAATTAATATTGATTGGTAGAGAATATTGTGTTGATTACTTTTTATTGCCTTTTTTCTTTTTCAAAATCATACTCAACCATTCATTATTTTTTTATTACACATTTTTTATCAAACTGTGGTTTTGTTTCCAAGCAGTTATTAGAAGTGTTCTTTCAGAGTTCTTCGCGTCCCTAAGATTGTCTTGAATTTGTAGAATAACTAAGTTTTAATGCAGTGTTACTTTTTGGTCGTTTCTAGGGGGTACTCCGGTTGATAAAAACATTTTGATCAATGCATTTGGCTTGTTTGCTTTTTGGCAGAAGTGTATATTTATCGATGATATTGAAGTTATTGCAAAAATTAATTTCCCGTGTGATTCTCTTAAAGAATTGTTTTTATTGTGTTTGATGAATCCAGAGCCTCTGTCTGAGCGATTTCCGTGCAATGCAACGGGGAAACCTCTCTGGTACAAGTATGGAAATTAGGGTTAGGATTGGGCACGGATGTTCAGGTAGTAACGGTTAAAAAGAATTCAATTTCATATACTTTTACCCGTATTATCGACTATAAAAATAGTTCAGATATACATGTACTGAAAGTTACGAGCAACAAATATACAGTGCAAATAATATATCAAAACCCATTTATCCTTTGTAAAACCGCGTGGTTGGTAAACAAAGCTAACTATATAATCTATGAAGTATTGAAAGGTTCCGTAGACATGCTCTCCTAATTCTCGTGATACCAAACATCAGCAAACCATATTTCTCTGATTCCCACCTCGTTTATTCTTCAGAAAATGCAGACAGCTATTCAAAAGGCGGGGATATATCTATTATGAATTGGGTTCGAAGACAGCTCTGTTATCTTCTTCCTCTCATTTTGCATATCTCACTTGATAGGAACGCATATCATCATCTGAGCTTAATTCATTACCAGTCTTCCTGCTCACCACTTTTCTATTCGATGATTCCTGGAGTGCTTTCAGTTCCTCATCTTCAGACCGCGCGTCTTCATCCCACGAAAACAAGAAGCTGTTAAAAGACTGTGCTGCTGGTGAAACTCTCAACGCACCAGGCACTTGAAAAGCGTGGAGATCAGAGGGTATGCTTTCGGATTTCTTAAAATTTCCAAAGTAAGTGACCTCATCGGTATGTGGAAAGCTGATAGTCGAACGCAATGGAGGATGGGAAGGACGTTCTTCCAGAGATCGCTTTGTATCTTTGCTTGCATTGTTTGTATTCGGAGCATGTTCATCTGACTTCTTGACCATTCTAGCAGACCTGACTAAAGGTCGCATCATTAATTTTCCACTTGTTTGCCCTCTCGATTCGCCTGTTAAAGGGTTGGTCGCTCGTGAAGATTTTTCTTGGCCCGAAAGCATCGGACTTTTGTCTCTCTTATCCGCATACTGTGATATGTTTTCACCATCGGAGCTGTGTTTCTTCAAGGATGCACGGCGCTCTTCTACTTCGTCAATGGAAACTTTCGTCAGATCAATTAAACTTTGAGCCTTGTCATATGGTGCGAAACCTTTGACTCTGCTGAATGCTGTCATGCTCTGTGTTCGTTTTTTATTCATTGCTCCAAAAGGCGCTGAGACAACTTCAAAATTGCCTCGTCTGTATTTTCCAGGGATAACACCGCCGCCGTCACTTTGTATTCCTGATACGCCCAATGCCATGTCAGCCTTTAGCAATGCAACTTGCTGGCGCAATTCACCATTATCACTCTGCAGTTTCTTCACGATATTTCTGGTTAAAGCCATCTCAATGGAAAGCTTTTCATGTTGATCTTGGAGCAAACCCTGATCAACTTTGCGATTAGCGGATTTCTCCTCAGTCCCTTGTGTTACTGCTTTGTCACCTGGGTTATGGTTGCATTCAGAACCTTCTTTCTGCGCACTCTCGTGAGATTTCGTCATATTTTTCGCCTTCTTCATGCGCTCCTCAACCAGACTTGTTGCGCTCTCAATAACCTCTTTGTCCTTCATTTCCTTAAACTTCTGTTGATGTAGGCCCTTTGCCTCCTGTACTGTATATGATTTGGCATTTTCCTTCCCTCTGCGCTCTTCACTCACCTCATATCTCATCTTTATTATGTTTTGCAGCTTTTCCACCTCTAATCTTAGCCACTTGCACTGTATTCGCATCTCATCGTTATCAGCACGTTGCTTCTTCAACTCACTTTGGATAGAGGCCATCTGAACCTGTGATTCCCTGTACTGCTGCAGATACAGAAAAGCTCTTTCCTTTTTGCCTCTCTCTCGTGCTTTCATGGTCTCAATCTCATCTTTAAGCTTGTTCCTTTCTTGTCTCAAATTTCCAACCGTTAATGTGTAATGTTTGACTTGTTCAGCATACCTTTGGTTGATTGCTTTTGTCTCATTGAGCTGCTCTTTCATAGCTTCTATAAGATGTCTGTACTCTTTGTTTTCATACTCCAGGTCTCCCTGTTCTATATTCATTTGTTGCATAAGATCATGTCTTATTTCATTCCGCTTGTCGTGCTGTTCCATAAGGTTTTTCTCGACTTCACCTTCTTCTTCGAATTCCAAATCTTCACAATGCTTCTCTTTATTGTTGAGACCATTTCCGACCTGCTCCTTACCAATTATTTCCATATCATTCATTTTTTTACGCAAACTCTCATTTTCAGATTTCAGCCTCTCTATCATTCCTTTATTTTCTTCATGCATTTTTCCCATGCTCCGTTGCCTTTTCTCGCTCTCCAAAAACATATTTTCCAGCTGTGAGACCTTTTTCTTATACTGTTCTGTTTCTTTCTGACTCTCTGTAGCTTGTTTGATGGCCGCAGTCAACTTGACTCTCAGCTCACCTTCTCTCTCGGTACCTCGTTCGGATTTTGCCTCGTAATGCGCCGCCGTTCGTGACATTTCTATAACTTCTTCTTGCAACTCCATATTTCGTAGCTCGTGGTGCTGACTGCTCCGTCTAAGATGGTTGCCTTCCTTTATCGATCGACGCAACTCTTCGTAAAGTTTTGAGCTACTTATTGGTACCACATTGTAATTGTGGACATCTAAGCCATATGTATCTCCGTTTACAAAGCCATTTATATTAAAACCTGGCTTGTTGCCCCCACCGTCCTGTGTTTCTTGCATTTCTCTCATAATGGCTGAAGTGCTGTTTGTCAACTGATGTCCTTTGGAAACTTCGTTTCCCTCTTGGTCTCTCAACGAATCATTGCCATAATATTTTTCATCTTTTAAAGACCTTCGCAATTCATCGTGCAAATTAGAACTGCTCATTGAAACTGTAATTCCATTTGCGTCCTTTTCATCTTTTTCACCGTTCCTCCACTCAGCTTCTCCCTTTTCCTCAGGAAAGCTCATCACTTTGGACTGAAGCTTCTTCGATGCTTGGAGTTCTTCATTTTCACTATTCTCTGCTATAATCCCTTTTCCTGATCTTTCCGCAATTTTTTCAAATGTCTTTGATACGTCATCGATATTTCCATTGAAGTCAGTACCAGCCACAGCGTCTTCCCTGAACGGGTTCGTCTGATGAAATCTTTTTGTATCGAAATCACTATCTTCTTTTCTCCCTATGGATGACAAAGTTTGAGAAACTTCACCTTCATTTCCGAAAGTTTTAAAATCCACACTTTGTGTTTTTGTAGTTTGCTCAATTCTAGCAGATTTTATGTCAAATTCTCCTCCGGGCTTTGGATGAATGTGTGGCAAACATTGCTCCATCATGCGAAGGAAGCTTCTTTCAAAGCAAGAAGAAGTTATGATCTCCCAGTTCAAATAATTGATTTTCCACCTGTGTTTTGCTGTGACGAACCCAGCAAAAATTTGCATATCAATACCCATGAATTATAAGCTTCCCGATTCGCAAACGTTTTTAAAACGGAATTTGATAAGACTGGAGGTTTCAATTCAATCTTTATGCACCAGCATCTGAATATTTCATAATTTGGCCGCAGGAATTTCGTCACCATGGTATGTAAATACAGAAACAGGTGGTCGGCAGTAAATTATAGAAGCCATTCAACCAATTCAATAAACATGACGAAGTTGGTTGAAATTTGTACGTGGTAATTTTGGTGGTAGTAAATTTATGCAGAATTCTAAAGAAGACATATGTGAATTCAATTTAGATAATATTAAGGCATATTTCCATATGTCAAAGATAGCCATAACAGATGCAGTATTTACAATGCTCCTAATTAGTAGAAATCTGTGTTTAGGCCTTGTAGTTGTCCTGTATCCTTATTGAAGCAAAATGAAATTCAGTTTTGCTTACAATCAACGTAAACTGCTTCCTCTAGTACGAAAACCAAATGATTGCACTCAAGAGCGATTCTCCAAATATCGTTACAAATATCGTTATTTTGGTTCGTTTCTTTTCAAAGTTGTTTCTTGAACGATAATCAAGTGAGCCACTTTATTTAACTTGGTAGCAGCCTTGAATCTTCTTCACTATTTCAAAAAAGTGGTACATTTCTCTTGAAAGCACACACTTAAGCTAAGCGATGCCTCCATTATCATTTTGTCTACGCCAGCACTTTTACTTTAGTCATAAATGTGCAATCAAAAAACATTGCAAAAATCCATATCTGTGCTGCCTAAATATTCTTTCTGAATATTCTGAGAGAGAGTATCACAAAGAGCTACAGAGAGTTTAATTACCCAATAAGCCTTAGAGGACGAGAGAAGCAATAAAAAATGAGATGAAGCTTCTTTGTACTTCAAATTTTGACGAACTGGACTGGTTCGAAAATAGAGAATCAAGTCGTTTGGCGACCATTATTACGGCTCGTATAAAGAGACGTTTGATAAGATTCCGAAATTCTTAAATGTTTGACGGAATCTCGTCAATTTGATCACCACTCATCCTGAAATAGTTTTTTTAGCCACTTCAATCACTGTGGCGTTGGCTCTTCTAAGAGCATCGATACCATCCAGAAAATCTCTTCTCTTCTCTTTGACATTTTCTATAACGTAATTATAGCGAAAAGAACGCCTACAAATCATAATTGAAATGTTCGTTAAACCAATACCTGTTTAAGTTAACAAATTTGTCAAAAGGCATATTTTGCCTTGCTGTAGAACTAATTGAGCATCTTCTTAATCATCGCTTAATAAAAATTTATAAACATTTTATATAAAAGCTTATTTTAAGTTGTTTCTGCAACTCAAAGACCCCGAATCTAGAGGGTGGAAGAAATCGTTAACATCAACATAAACTTTAAATTGTAATAAAAGAATTCCTAATTTTCTTCTCTTTTCATTGCAAAGATTGTTTCACGACACCCGCTCATATAATCGCTCTTTAAACATTCGAGGTTTTGCTGCTTTTTCTATTCTGAACAGCTAATATGTTCATTATTTGCTTTGCTAAATTTGGATCATTCAAATTACCAATGTACACTGAACCAGGAGGAATTTGCGAATCTGTTCGTTGGGTTGTGTAGTAAAGTAGTGCTGTCAAGTAGCCAAGCGCACAAAAAAGTTGAGACCCTATCAACTCTCTGGCGCTCACAGCGGACGCAAAATCGAGAACACTTGATTTTAACTACGCATGCTCAGACTTGGGCGCTACGCCCGCGCGCACAAAAAATGTAAAATGGAAATCGGCCTTAAGGGCTTAACAAAGCAACACAGAAGCTGTATGCAATTACCCAAAAATGAAAGACAGTTGCGTTCTGAGGGTGTGGTGGGAGGAGGGTGAAAGGTCAAAACGGCACCCCTATTTAGTTATCTTCTAAATATGCTTAAACGTTTCAGGAATTCTTTGCTTAACATTTAAAGGAAAGTGATTGAATTTTTGCAAGTAGCTAAATCCTCAACGCCCCCCCCCCCCCCGATTCTTTTTATGTTACGATTTGTTAAGGTTTGTGAGGGCCATCGCCATGGTTGGCTGCAAAAAAAGTTAAGAATGTAGTGTTCAGTATAGTGAGGAAGCGCATCTAGGATATATTTTGACCGAAGAAAAATCCGAGACAGAACTTTCTTGCTTTACTTCATCACTATGTTCCATAGTTTTATCTATTTCAATGTTGATA